ATATTTTGTATTAACTGATCACAATTGATTTTTGATGACCATTTTCATGATTATAACCTTCTGTTTATCAATTCATATTTTGGGTACATGTATAATCTATTTAGATAAGCTTATGCATTTCAAATCACTGTTCATTTGTCAGTTCTTATTTTGGTATAACTCAGTAAATGTAAGTTGTGCACCATTTGAACATGCCTGATAATGTTTTTCATCAGTTTTATAACTTGACATTACCAATGGACTGAAAACGGCTTTTATCATCGCCAAGCTACCTTGACATTTATTTTTAGTTTGAACTACCCGAGTTTATCAAACCATCTCTAAACCACAGAAGTATCCATAGTGTAGCCTCATCCTACTGAAAAGTAGAATACTGATTCCTTGACAACATGTCTCAGTATTGATGAAAAGTTCACACCAGCAGCAGATGGTGGTGTTAACCCTTTGTCTGTATTGACAGTGGGTGATGATGTAGTAGTATACAAAGAGGATCTTTAATCTATTATATAAATCTGTGAGGGTTAAATCTTGCCTTGACAATGTTGACCTTCTGAACTTTTCTATTTTGACACAAGGGACCAAAGTCTATATATGTTGTGGCAGATTCCATTCTACTTAATGCTCATGGCTCTATATTAATTACTCCAGTTTTGGGATCAATGTCATTGTGCACTTAAATTTTAGTCTCAGCTCCCTGGGGAACAGCATGATCCAGGTGGTGCTCACAAAAGATGGTGTGGTGGTATAGTTGTACTTCAGATATTGACGTTTATCTAGTTTTGATATTGTCAATAAGTAATGTTCAGTATGGTTGTTCCTGCTGAATTGTACAACTGGACAGATTGATATTTGTGGTGTCACAGACGATGTCATTGATTATCTTCTGATGACTCATTGTACATGTGGTTGTCACAGCTGTTTGGACACACAGAGACATAGACACACACACAGACACACACACAGACACACAGACACACACACAGACACACAGACACACACACACACACACACACACACACACAGGCATGGACAGACAGAGATACAGAAATACAGACAGACAGACAGACAGACAGAGAGTGCTATTGGAAATAACTGAAAACATTGTACTGAGACATCTTGTAACAGTTTGAGATGTGACATTACATGATTTACCTGGGTCTTCCTATGTGGGAGTCTCCATGACTCCCAGGGATACTTCGTGGGGGTCCCAGGTCGACCACTGTGACTTACATGATGTCTCCAGGCTGCCAACACGAGGCACACTCAACTTAAATAATGCCAAGACATTGAAGCCCAGAACAAATTACATACACGATGTAAGGTGTTTTTGTTGTTTGAAATGAAACTCAACGATTGAATGAAGAAAATCAGAAATGTAAATTAAATTTGAATTAAATATGCATTCTACAGTTGATCGTGTTAGTGATGCAAGCAGATTTATTTTTTCATCACATGGAATGCACAGTTCATATTATTTGAATCCAAGTTTTGTGAGTGTAGGAACTAATATGTAACAAAAATGTGAAACTGGACTGGTTTATGATTTTGTTAGTGTATGTCCATTGCTGCGGGCAGTGATTTTCCTTATGTCCACAACATCAAGATGACTGACATTAGAAATAATTCTACCATGGATTTCTTCCCAAAATGTTTGTGGTTGCCATGGTTACACTCACTCAAAAAGTATTAATGCATTTAATACCATGATTATTAAGCTTTGGAAACTTGGGTCCCTCTTTTGAAAAGGTTTGGGTAAAATAATTCAAAGATCAAGGTCAACTTTCTGGTTTTTGTAAAACAAACCAGTAGCTCATAATGTTATTGTCCATTTCTGACATGTCTGTAGACTTGCACAAGTCTCTAAGGCAATAATTTTAACTTTAAATCATAAGTTCTAGATTATGTAAATAGTAAGACCAAGTTGCCCCTATAAGAGACATGAGTCCACATATCTAGGTTCGCCTATTAGGCAGATAGAATTACTACACATCCATGGACTTATCTTTCTGTACATTTCTTCGGTATCAAAGGCCGCATGGCTAAGAGTACAATACTTGAGAATAACTTTTGCACATGGACAGTAGGGACAACTGTTATACTATCTCAACACAATATTTATGATACATTATACAGGCAGATTTCTTTTCAAATATATAGCAATATTTTTGATTAGCTTAACATTTTTTGTTGCTACTTTGTTGATTTAATTATGCTCGTGATGGATACTGGTAATAGTAGCTTGGGATTTAGAGCTGTTTTCCATATAAAATGGACAAACTAAAAGCAAATGGTATCTTCAATTATATTATGATTACTTTTCTTGCGCTTAAGTAAATCAGTGTTGACTTAGTCATTGTAACGAAGGTGTTGAATACCCAACTTATGGCTCAAACATCGAAATTTACAAAATATGCGGATAACATCCTTGTTTGGACATAACTCCATAATATATTTCTCTGGTTTGAGTACAGACTTATATGTAGAATAATGGTTTAGAAATGATGAAGAAATAATTTTAGCGTGCCAATTCTGAACCTCTATGTCTTTACGTCTTTGCTTAAAACATTGTATAAGATTTGATGCTGCCACCATGGCCACACTCATGTGCGATCCAAACATACGTAAATCCGGTTTCTGGTACTAGCAAAGGAACATGTGTTACCCAGTTGTGGCTGCCTTTTTCATCCTGTGATTTCATCATATCATAACATGCTTTTGGGTATCGATAACTATCCATATACAGCAGCCTGCACCAATACTTTATACAACGACTAAAATAATTAACACATAAGTAGGTTCTACCTACTTCTCCTAGTACAGCATTGGTTGATATTATTGTTGAAAGTATTTTCACCAGAAGTGTAACCCCAAATTTCCGCACCATATAACAATATGGAAGCTATTTTCCCGTCAAATATTGTAGATGGTACCTTTAGAGAAATGTTTGGATAATCCTTTAATAAGGTAATACATGTAATAGGGAACGAAGAGTTTCTGGCTTGTAGTGCTAATGTTTCACACGCTTTTGACCAAACTAATCTGGATGTAAAGACAATACCTAGATATTTAATGTGGGATACTACTTTCAAATGTTTATCATCATAAGTCCATTTTTCTGTATTTCCTAGGTATCCGCCATTAAAATACTTCTGAATTTAGGAAAATAAAAACTTTAAAAAAAATCCCAATGTTGAACAAACTAACAAGATTTTCCTGAATATGTATGCCAAGGACATGCATAGGAATCCTAGATAAGTACCTAAGCAGAGTTTATGTATGTGTGATGCCTGCGTTTGATCAGAAAGAAAAGGCCTGTTAAGAAATAATGGAAGGCAAGTTGTAAAGAATACATTGTGTATTACACAGAGTGTTGTTATGCTATTGGGTTTTCAAAGTTTTCAATCGATGCTCATGATGTCAATCACTGGATTGTCTGGTCCAGACTCAATTATTTACAGACTGCCGTCATATAGCTGGAATATTCCTGAGTGCGGGGAAAGTAAATATTTTGCGTATGTGCAGCTCATCTGGAGCCTTTATAGGAATCTTGCCTGCAGTGTGAAATAGTTGCTCACCAATATCATTTTTATGACCATGACAAGTGTTACAACTAATAATTAATGTTTTTCTCCTGTGTGGTTCATGGTCTAACAACCCCTGAAGATCCGGGGTGGAAAAGGTCTTCAGCAACTCATGCTTGCTGTAAAAAGCGATTATGCTTGTCATAAGAGGCATATTAACGGGGATGGGTGGCCTGACTCGGTGACTTGGTTGATACCTGTCATCATATTCCAAATGTGTAGATTGATGCTCATGATGTCATCTGGTCCAGACTCGATTATGTACAGACCTCTGTCATATAGCTGGAATATTGCTGAGTGCGGCATTAACATCATTAAACAACAGACAAACAAACAAATGATGATCTAACAGGGATTTACCTGACTCAATCTAGTTCTCAGGGACATCACCGTCTCAGAAAAAAGTTTCTGAGTTCCCAGGCATGGGAATGAGGTCTTTGTTCCCTACTTCCTACACCATGTGGCACACTGCACTTGACGGCCATGAAGTTTACTGACATCATACCACTGTCCTTGCTTAGAAGCCTTGTTTATATACTGCTCAAAAGAAGTTAAGGAACACCAATGACATGACAGATTAACTACAGTAATCATGGTAATATGAAAGAATCGGGCATTGTTTAACTTCTTTTGAGTAGTATGTTTGGTGTTTTTGTCAGGGATTTACATTGATCTATTTATTTTCGAGTCTAGGGGACTCTCAGTAATAAGAATGGTCGGGTAGCCTTGTGGTTAAAGCGTTCGCTCGTCACGCCCATGTGTGAAGCCCATTTCTGGTGTCCCCCGCCATGATATCGCTGGAATATTGCTAAAAGCGGCGTAAAACCAAACTCACTCACTCACTCAGTAATAAGTTTGGGGGGTCCCAGGCTTGTGACATGTGGCAGGCTAATGTCACGTCAGTACACATGCTGGTATGCCTAAGGCTATTATAGATAGCAGATGGCCATGTTAGTTTAAAGACAATCAAATGTTCACATCCTGTTCTTCGAGTATATTTTATAGAAATGTTGACATGTAATATGCAGTGTTCTTCATGTTCAGCATGTTCAATGTTGATATATTTAGTGATGCAAACAGCCGTATTGTTTTGCATTCATTTTCAATTTGTATGGGAAGGAGATGCAAGGTATTGCATCCGTTAAAATCCTGTTTTATCCTTTGAAAAGAAACATAATCACTGAAGAAAATCTGGCATGGACTTTTGTGTTTGTTATCAGCATAGACACATCATAGATCTAACAGCCATACTCCAACTGAATTCACACAATTCATCATACCCTTCTTTGTCCTGAAGGGATAACAGAGATAGACATTTTATCATATGAGAGGCAATATTTTGTGTGGGTAAAACCCTGATTAAAGTAAAAGCAGGTTATGTGTCTGTTTGGTCTCACTGGCTGCTTGTTTTATGTACAGGGTCACGGAGAGGGCAAACCCATACTTCATCCTACAGAAGAGGAAAGGATATGGAGGAGGAGGTCTCACAGGGCTGCTTGTTGGCACCTTGGATACAGTGTTGGATAACAAGGTATGTGTCCTGGGATGAGGGTGGGATATGGAGGAGGAGGTCTCACGGCTGCTTGTTGGCACCTTGGATACAGTGTTGGATAACAAGGTATATATCCTGGATAAGGGTGGGATATGGAGGAGGAGGTCTCGTAGGGCTGCTTGTTGGCACCCTGGATAACAGTGTTGGATAACAACGTGTATATCCTGGGATAAGGGTGGGATAAGGGTGGGATATGGAGGAGGTCTCACAGGACTCCTTGTTGGCACCTAGGATACAGTGTTGGATAACAAGGTATATATCCTGGATAAGGGTGGGATATGGAGGAGGAGGTCTCATAGGGCTGCTTGTTGGCACCCTGGATAACAGTGTTGGATAACAACATGTATATCCTGGGATAAGGGTGGGATAAGGGTTGGATATGGAGGAGGTCTCACAGGACTCCTTGTTGGCACCTAGGATACAGTGTTGGATAACAAGCTATATATCCTGGATAAGGGTGGGATATGGAGGAGGAGGTCTCGTAGGGCTGCTTGTTGGCACCCTGCATAACAGTGTTGGATAACAACGTATATATCCTGGGATAAGGTAGGGATATGGAGGAGGAGGTCTCACAGGACTCTTTGTTGGCACCTTGGATACAGTGTTGGATAACAAGGTATGTGTCCTGAGATAAGGGTGGGATATGGAGGAGGTCTCACAGGACTCCTTGTTGGCACCTTGTATACAGTGTTGGATAACAAGGTATGTGTCCTGGGATAAGGGTGGGATATGGAGGAGGTCTCACAGGACTCCTTGTTGGCACCTTGGATACAGTGTTGGATAACAAGGTATGTGTCCTGGGATAAGGGTGGGATATGGAGGAGGTCTCACAGGACTCCTTGTTGGCACCTTGGATACAGTGTTGGATAACAAGGTATGTGTCCTGGGATAAGGGTGGGATATGGAGGAGGTCTCACAGGACTCCTTGTTGGCATGCTGGATACACTGTTGGATAACAAGGTATATATCCTGGATAAGGGTGGGATATGGAGGAGGAGGTCTCGTAGGGCTGCTTGTTGGCACGCTGGATAACAGTGTTGGATAACAAGGTATGTGTCCTGGGATAAGGGTGGGATATGGAGGAGGAGGTCTCACAGGACTCCTTGTTGGCATGCTGGATACACTGTTGGATAACAAGGTATATATCCTGGATAAGGGTGGGATATGGAGGAGGAGGTCTCATAGGGCTGCTTGTTGGCACCCTGGATAACAGTGTTGGATAACAAGGTATGTGTCCTGGGATAAGGGCATGACATGCTTCTGGTCACCCTAGATACAGTGTTGGATAACAAGATATATCCTGGAGAAGGGTAGGGTGTGGAGGAGGAGGTCTCACAGGGATATATTTGAGGGCCCCTGTATACAATGCTTCTTAACTGTTGTTAGTGAATGTAGGTCTAATTATTGCATTCCTTCTTTCAGACCTACCCATACCGTATTCTTCATCAGACACCAGGATCAGAAGTTAGTTACTGTGAGTAAAATTCTTTGATAAATTACATTTGATATGTTACAATTTTAACAAGCCCTGTTGAAGAGCTAGTAACCTGATACTAGTGGATTATTTTCCTTCCCATTTAGTATCAGTGATAGTAACATGACAATCCATGAAAAAATAGTCATGGGAATTTTAAATACAAATCCAAGGTATCACATTTCTGCACCTGTAACTTTTTACATTTCAACGGCTCAATAATGCGGCTTTAGATTGACAGTGGGTAATACCCGTATTTATTACATGTGGTCCAGTGTACAGGTGACAGGTCCCAGGTCACAAATGAGGTGAAGTTAAGCAAAAGTGATACATCAAGAGTAGTTGGATGGGTGACCGTGTTCGGCAGTTTGACACCCGGGAGTTTCCAGGGCTTCACTCCTGCCCCACGCTAAAGCACATGTAGCAAATGTGGTCTCTCCTTAGACTTTGTTCAAAATATGCCTCACCCAGCAGATATGCCTCAATCATCATTATTTCCATTGTTGTTTATGATGTTCTTGTTGTTGTGAATGGAACAAAGCACCTACTTTGTGGCACTGTCCATTCATATGTTTGCGTACTGAGTAATGAAAAGCTTCTTATCATACACTGCTGTGCACAAACTTTGCTTGGACATAGGAACCCCGAAGTAAGTTCGGCTATGCAGAGATCTCTTAGTCTTGTGCAAGGTAGTGCTACAATCTCTTTGCAAGGTCCCCTGGATTCCTGGGTGCCGTTCTATAAAACAACCTTGGTGCTACGGTTGTCGTAAGTCCATGTTAAGGTATGGAGCTTACGATCACCTTAGTGCTAAGATTGGCACCCTGGATCTTAGTTAAGATTAATCTTAAAAACGTATCCAAAAATAGATATCTTAAGTTTAGGATTGGATACATTTTTGAAACTACATGTATCTTACCTATCACAAATTGTACAAAGTTACGATATTTGTATCGCAAATAACAACGGTTCTGACGTGAAACCTTTGATGCTTTCTGTGTATTTTCGAATGGTCCATTGGAATCACTCAGTTTAACCAAATGAACTATCAGTGTTTGAAAGTAAAGCAGATTATTTCTTTAAAAGTGTCTATGGCAAAGCATGCGGCTATCTTGGATGACGATAAAATATACTTACAACAAGTGTGGAGCTATCTTAGATTTATGACATTCTTACAAAATCTTAGGGCTATGAAAATTTTCGAAAATAGGCAATGACAGTCTACGATTTTCTTTATGATAATTTTAGGGATAAGATGGTTCTGGAAATCTAGGCCCTGGTTATATGAATCCTCACAGGAGGCGATCTAATGGATCAGTGTTCAGGTTTGATGATATGGTCGATAGAATGTCATCATACCCCATTGGCATGGAATGATGCTCATAATATCAATCACTGGATTGTCTGGTCCATACTTGTTTGTTACTGCTATGTTTGTTTGTTGTTTGACGCTGGCCTCAGCAGTATTCCAGCTATATGAGGGCTGGTCGGGTAGCCTTGTGGTTAAAGCGTTCGCTCGTCACGTCGAATACCCGGGTTTGATTCCTGACATGGGTACTATGTGTGAAGCCCATTTCTGGTGATCCCCGCCGTGATATTGCTGGAATATTGCTAAAAGTGGCGTAACACCAAACTCAGTCACTCACTCACTGACTCCAGCCAAATGACGTCAGTCTGTAAATAATCGAGTGTGGACAAGACAATCCAGTGATTGACATCATGAGCATTGATCCACGGAATTGGGACACGATGACATGCATCAACCAAGTCAGTGAGCCTGACAATAACCCGATCCCGTTCGTTGCCTCTTACGTCAAGCATGTGTTGCTGAAGACCTATTCTACCCCGGATCTTCATGAGTCTGTAATATTGCTGGGTGGTGCCTTAAACAACAAACAGTGGCAAGGCCTTCCAGTAATAATGACAGACCATGTTACAAAGCACTGGGTCATTAATGGTCTTTTATGCAGCTGTTTATGACCGATCAAGGTGATGATCCTGTAGCAGGTGTTTGTTTTCATAGAGAACTGAAACACTATATCACCAACTGTGAATTCTATTGCCATTGTTTCTCTATAAGATTCAAATTTATGTCTGCAGCTGTTGCCGTGGCGACCAACAAGCGAGAAATCAGCAAGGACTGGGAATGGCTGGAACAGCATCTCATGCAGACACTTAGTAAATACCAAGTTTCATTATTGTTATTTTTGTGACAGCCATGAAACCGTCTTTCCAGCAAAACATTTACAACAACCTGACCCCTTCTTTTGATCCTTGTGTTCACAGAAAAATGGATTTTTTTAGAACTTGAATAAATATTGAAAAAGATCAGTCTGACGAGTCTATATTGTATTATACTTTTTCTCTTACCATGCTCACTGACTAGGATTTTTCATTAAAATAAAATGAGAATTGAATCAATTGAATCTGACAACACATCCATTGGAAGACAAGTCAGATTTCATTTCTGCCATTGAGCATCAAGACAAGACAATACGAGTGATTGAAACTTTCAGACCAGCATATCAGACTTCTGCATCAAGAAAAAGAACTAAAAACAACCACTTTAAAATTTGAATAATTGTCTTAAGTTTCTCTGCGGGTTTTTGCAGTGCTTCTTGTTTCATAACAATGTAAAGCTATCAACATGATCAAAATTACTTTCTTGTATGGAAATTATAATATTCATGAAAGCACCATGAACATCATGAACATGGCAAGCAAAGTTTTTTTCTCAAATTAATGATTCAACAAAAATGGTTATGAATGTCCAATAATACAAGACCTGAGGAAATTAACATAAATGGTGATTTGACTTAGAGATTAACCTTCCAGAATATCATTTGGAACTCCAGAAACCTATGATTGTGGGTTCGAATCCTGGTTCACCACGATTATGTTTCTAGGTTTGTCAGCACCATACCCGTGCTCATGGGTTTCACCGAAGTGGTAAATGCCTGAGACCTGCATCACTTTGGGCTTTCCTCCCACATTTAGCTGACACGCCGTGATATAACTGGAATACTGTTAAAAGCGGTGTTAAACCCAACACACTCACACACTCACTCATTTAGAGCTGATGGACAAACATAATGAAAAATAGAAAAGTAATCAGTTATTTTCTTTCACATTTTACAAAGACTCTTGTACAATTGTGAGACAGACATGACATGACATGACATGACACCTTGATGATGTCACAAGCTTCCATGACAACAAATCCTGCCTGTTCAGCAGAATGTGGGAAAAAGACTAAATTGAAGTTGTTCTGATAAATATTAATCTATCTTGATATTTAACTGACAATAACTAAAGTGTTATCCATCTCACCAAGCTGAATGGCACTTTTATTTTATGATTTGGGATTGAGAAAAACATAGTGACACCTCAAAACCTCCAGGATCAAATCGCATTTAGCAACATATTTCAACCAAATTGCAGCACACACACACATTCATTTTACAACACTGTATAATTCTGTGACTTTTAAAAATATAGAGACATTATGACTTCTTGATGCTTGATATTGTGTACTGTAACATCAGAGTTATCTCCCTTGTTTATGTGCTTTGTACAAGAGTTACTTCCCTCCTTGTCCAGGTGCCTTTGAGAGTGATGAGGAGGCGACTGACTTTGTACGCTGCAAGATAGAGAGCTTGTTGGCCAACAGAGTAGTGCTCAAAGAAGGTAGGTCATTGTTTTATCTTCATATTTCCTGAGGCAACTATAAATTTCCTAAAGCCAATTATTAAGTGTACCAGAAATATATGAACTTTCCTAAACTCACTGGGATTAACCGTTCGCACCAAATTATTACTTGTTATTGTTCAGATATGTTAGATGTTGTATTATGTATGTTGACCACTCATGCATTCCTTTTACAGATGAGGAAACTGAGAGGTTCAAGTCGGCTACCAAGAAGTTCAGGAAACTATTCAATATGCCAAAGGAAGAAAAACTTGTAAACTGTAAGTGAATGTGTATCATCAAGTTAATATTTCTTTTTGAGTGATGTCGAAGAAATTGATTTGATTGTTACATTCTCCACCGAGCGCATCATTTGTTATGATATATGGAATTATTTTATTTTATCATGACCTATATATATGTAAATGATCCTATTTCAGACTATTCCTGCAGCTCCTGTAAGGACATAGTACCAAGCTGCCTGTATTGTAGACTTAATCATGTCTGTTGATCCTATTTCAGACTATTCCTGCAGCTACTGGAAGGGCAAGGTGCCAAGCTGCCTGTATTGTAGACTTAAATATGTCTGTTGATCCTATTTCAGACTATTCCTGGAGCTTCTGGAAGGGCAAGGTGCCAAGCTGCCTGTATTGTAGACATAATCATGTCTGTTGATCCTATTTCAGACTATTCCTGGAGCTTCTGGAAGGGCAAGGTGCCAAGCTGCCTGTATTGTAGACATAATCATGTCTGTTGATCCTATTTCAGACTATTCCTGGAGCTTCTGGAAGGGCAAGGTGCCAAGCTGCCTGTATTGTATGACTTAATCATGTCTGTTGATCCTATTTCAGACTATTCCTGCAGCTACTGGAAGGGCAAGGTGCCAAGGCAGGGCTGGATGTATCTGAGTGTGAATCACCTCTGCTTCTACAGCTTCCTGATGGGCAGAGAGGCCAAACTCATCCTCAGGTGGACGGACATCACGGTCAGTAAAACACAAACTCCATTGCTTGTAGCTCACCTGGTCCTAATTTTGTGAAGTGTTGTCGGTTGTCCATTCATCAACTTATACCATTTTGACCTCTGAATCTAAAAGGCTTGTTCATGTTCGTGAACCTTCGCATCAGTTTCAGCAATTGTGTTTAGATTTTATTCTTGGTTGCCTTGTCACCCATATTGAAAATGTCATTTTTGCCAAATACTCAGCTTTTTTGGCATATGCAATTATGAAATTTGATGTGCAGTATGTGGCTTGTGGAATTGCATCTGAATTTGTTTTCAGAATATATTGATTGTTGACTCTGCTGTGGCTTGTCATTGTGGACTATTTGTGCTGTTTTGTTCTTCAGTATTTATGTTTGCCTGTTCGATTCCCGGGGTTCGATTCCATGCAGTGTCATACCAAAAGACGTTAAAAGGTGGTACATGTTGTTACCCTGTCTGGTACTAGGCATTAAGGGGCTAAAAAAGGACTGGTTGGCTGGGAGTTAGTATACTGTGTCTGAGTGGGGTATTCATGTTAAACTGCACTTTGGTGTCTCTGTGGGCAAGCACTATAAAATCGGCATCAGTCCAGACAAGAACAAGCAGCCCCACACACACATGTGTGTGCAAGTCGCTATATAAGTGCAATAATCTTGGACGTGATGTTAAAACCCATTTCACCTCACCGCAAATCATATTGGGGCAGTGGGGTTGAATAGAGGTTAAAACCGTTAAAGTGTTGGCTTGTCAATCTAAAGATCTGGTTTCGATCTCCACATGGGTATAATGTGTGAGGCCCTGCTTCTGGTGATCTCTCCAGCTGCTATTGAGCTACAAATGGCTCCACTAATGACATTTGTTTCTTGAGTCCCTGATTGTGATACCCATGGTCATCAATAACACACTGTGAGTTAACTGATATAATCTATATAATCTATATCCAAGCTGCACCAGTGCAGGTAACATTTCCCACCACAAGTGCACGGCAGCAGTTACATTTGATAAAAGTGGGCAACTTAATTGTTTTAGAACCGGCTGCAAATTGTTTAGAATCCAAGAAACAAAAGTTCATGAAAATAGTGTGTGAGTGGGTGAGTGAGTGAGTTTGATTTTACGCTGTTTTAGCAATATTCCAGCAATACCACGGCAGGGAACACCAGAAATGGGCTTCACACATTGTACCCATGTTGAGAATCAAACCCGGGTTTTCAGCGTGACGAGCGAACACTTCAATCACTAGGCTACCTGACTGCCCCCATGAAATGAGTGAAATACCCAGGTCTGAATGCAGTGAACTTGCAGAACTAATTCTTCACAATCATCACCAGAACAGTCACTCATGAGGTTACAATCACAACAAACAGACACTTTGAAACTTCTGTTAAAGGTTGTCTACTGGATATCAAGATGGGAAAAGTCGATACAGATTCCTTAAAAATAAGATACTGGAGCACAGTCGCAAATTTATTTTCTCTGAATTTGTTTGATATTCAAAACAACTGAAAATACAGTGTTTCAATTTTTGATAAGATGGTGCAGTCAATATTTTGGTGGTGTCACCTGATTAATTTACTTGGTTGCACCTGGTGCAGGTGGCAAAACAGAATGAAATCATACTCTGCATATAGTTTAAAGTGTCACAAAACGCAACTCACTCTTCAACTTTCTCCTTCCAGAAACTGGATCGAGGCAACAACATGTTGTTCCCCGACAGTGTCAAGGTGTCAACTCGGGAGGCTGATGTAAGTACACTCACACATTTGTCATTTGTCTACGACTCCAAACCAAGTGCGACCGCCTCCGTGGTCTACAGGTAGAGCGTCCACCTGGAGAGCGGAAGGTCCGGGGTTCGATTCCCGACTGCATCATACCAAAAGAGGTTAAAAGATGGTACTTGTTGTTACCCTGTCTGGCGCTCGGCATTAAGGGGCTAAAACAAGTACTGGTTGGCTCGGAGTCAGTATACTGTGTCTGACTGGGGTATTCTTTGTCAAACTGTGGCATGGTATCTCAGTGGGCTAGCACTATAAATAGGCATCAATCTGGACTAGTACAAGCAGTCACACTCAAACACATACATACACGTGCATGCGCGTTGCTATATAAGTGCAATAATCTTGGAAATGATAATTAATTATTCAAAAGTTGGGTTTTTTTTTCATTCGCATTTTCTTAAATTCAGAGGTTTATTTTAAGATTGTATTCAATGCATCAATGTAATTCAAGCATTAGGCCTCTTCCTCTTCATTGGGGAGGTAAGGTAGCCTTGTGGTTCAAGTGGTTGTTCGTCGCGCCAAAGACCTGGGTTTGATTCCTCTCACGGCTACCTTGTGTGAAGATAATTTATGGTGTCTCCTGCCTTAATATTGCGGGAATATTGCTAAAAGCTCAACTCATTGTTATCAGCGAAATACAAGACATCACTTCAGAGCCATAACATTGTTTGCGATTATGATAACATGAATTTGGGAAGTTTTTAATACCAAAATGGGAATTGATACTGACTTTGTACTGACGAGTATCAGGCTCTGTGCTGGTCCAGAAACAAACTCACATCAGATTATGTTTTTTGTTAGAAATATCAGTGTTAGAAATTGGCACTCATCCTGTTGTCCTTACAAAACTGCCCAATTAATTAGTTATTATAAGGACAAGTAGACATTTACCATTTTTGAGGGTTTTGCTATGTGCTATCATTATAAGGACTAGTGGACTAAAACTGTTAGTTTCTGTCGCTGAAAATGTATATTAACCATGTAAAGGATATCTGCTGGTCTGTAGTGAGAGTATGTTCTTTCTTTTCTTTCTTTCGATAGAAATTGTTAAAATCTCTGGTAGTTAATCTAACTGTCCAGATGAAAAAGAAGTGGCTCAGTCATCTCACGCTCTCTATTTCACTGAGCAGAGTTGTGTCCCTTAGTCATCCAAGGATCTGATGATTGTGGGTTTGAAATCCCAGATTCACCCTGATTATGATCAGTGGTTTGTCAGCACTGTAGCCATGTTCATAGGTTTCAGATTTGTAAATATCAAAGACCTGATTCATTTCAGAATATCTTCCACATAAGCTTATGCGATATTATATGGCTGAAATACCATTCAAAGCGGCTTTAAACTCAATCATTCTGAGTGATATAGACTTCTTAACAGCAATATTTCCCACTTGTAGAAAGGGTGGATAACATAATAATTAATAAAACTTCTTTGTTTGAGCACTATTGTGAAGATAATCAATGATGATACAGTATGATTGGCTTATCTTGTCATGTAAAATCTTTGTTGATGAGGGCATGTCTTTGTATTGGACCCCTGGAGGCCAAGGTTAGATTTGGTCCTGAACACTCTCCTCCTTGTAACAACTGACTTGGATTGTTGATTGCCTGTCAGTAACCCTGAAACAAGACTTTTTGCAGAAACGACTTGCAGTCTGCCTCACTGACATTTTGACTTTTAAGATACATGGAGATTTGACAGAAAGTACATTATCAATAGAATATTTGTTGTTTTTTTTGTCATATGACTTCAATGTAACTTTTTTATGTTTTTGTGCATCTTCCCGAGGCAAGAGAGTTAACTGACTTTAGAAGTCCAGTTTCCACCCTTGCCGAACTAGGCTGGAGTTCCTGGGCTCGATCATAGTGCCACCAGTGTTTATTATGAGTTATGTCCCTTCTATGCCTCTCCTATGGACCAATCTGATTCCCACTTGCATTTGTTTTAAACAAAATGGCGGCGCCCAGTCAAGGCAATTAGATCGATCATCAAGATCTATATTGTGATAAACGGGTCTTACATTGCGAAGTACATCAAAATCACGCGAGCACATTGATTAAAAACATGAACAAAGCTGGAAAATATCAGTTGACAACGAGCTGGCGGTGCACATGCAATGCAAATCCTGCAATTGACCGAAATCTGCACGACAGTTTACGAACCGGATTTCAATTTTGATGTGCGATTTTGATTTGACTATGCATAGACTCGTTAGTCCAGCCAAAATGTAACTACATAATTCCAGCCTAGTTTGACAAGGGTGGAAACTGGACTTTAAATCCCTTGCCTTGGGAAGATGGTATTCGTGTGATGTCAGCTCATTTTGATATATGTCTCAGATACCATTGGTAGCTGGCATAAACTTTGTCCACTGTTCCTCCAGATGGTCACAAGTTCTTGGATCATTTGATACAAAGACGTAAAGCAAGCAACTGAAATGGTTGTCTACCAACTATTGCCATGGAACAGTTGCAGAGCATGTTAATCAATTTCAAATTCTTTATATCAATATAGTTATATCCCTCTGTATTTTTTACAATATACTTGATATTTGGGATTTTATGAAATGGCTATTTTATGTGGAAATTTATAGAAAGTGATGTTAAACATTTGTTTTGTTTTTCCCAGGTTTATGTATTTAATGTGTACATTATTGTGTTTTCAGCATTTCTTCTCAATGATGCTCCACAGTAACGAGTCCTACCGTCTGATGGAACAACTTGCTAATATGGCCATGAGACAGTGAGTATGATTCACTTGTGTGCATTCTCCCTGCATGCGGGGCAGTCGGGTAGCCTAGTAGTTAAAGCGTTCGCTCGTCACGCCGAAGGCCGGGGTTCAGTTCCCCACATTGGTACAATGTGTGAAGCCGATTTCTGGTTTCCCCCGCCATGATATTGCTGGAACATTGCTACAAGTGGCGTAAAAATTCTCAATCAATCAATCAATCTCCTTGCATGCAGTTTGGGCAGCCTAGTGGTTATAGTGGTTGCTCCTCATGCCTAAGTCCTGTGTTTGAATCCCCATGTGGTACAATGTGTATGTTGTGTAAAACAGATGTTTCCTGAAAATTGCTAAATAACAACTGAAACAAGATTGGAGTCAGGTAACTAACTAATTGTTGGGTAATTTTCTTCAGATTGATGCAAGAGGGTGGATTTGAAGAAGATACAACGATTTCCTCCAGAACCAAGTAAGTTATCATGACAAGCAACCTGTTTAGTAACGTAAATGACCTAGACCATATATTTCAATGGTTTCGTGAAGATGAGAGTTAGAATTGGGCTTCAGCAACCCATGCTTGTCGTAAGAGGTGACTAACAGGATCGGATGGTCAGACACACAGAAGGGCATGTCTTCGTAGCCCAATTGCGTAAATTGATGCTCATGATGTCAATCACTGGATTGTCTGGTCCAGACTCGATTATTTAGAGACCTCAGTCACATAGCTGGAGTATTGTATAGTGTGGCGTGAAACAGGAAATAACCAAACAAACAAACAAATTTTGTCCCAGAGAATTGCAGATTTAAGGACCAAGGTACAGTCATGCTCTGTGACTTTGTTGATTGCATGTCATGGCACCGAATGTTGTGGATAGTTGCTCATGATATCAATCACATAAGCATGTTCACTTTGACATCATCACTTTTTTAACACGCTTTATGTACCCCCCTACCTCTATGTAGCTTGGGACCGCTTCCGTCTAGTGGTAGAGCGTCTGCCCGGAGAGCGCAAGATCTGGGTTTTGATCTTTGGCCACACCGTACGAAAAGACGATTAAAGATGGTACTTGTTGTTACCCTGTCTGGCGATCGGTTTTAAGGGGCGTAAACAAGGACTGGTCGGCTCAGAGTCAGTATAGTGTGTCTGAGTGGGGTATTCATATTAAACTATGGCATGGTGTTTCAGTAGGCTAGCACTATTAATCGGCATCAGTCTGGATTAATACAAGCAGCCACACATACAGGCATATGCATGTGCAATAATCTTATACGCGACGTTAAGCCCCATTTCACCTCACCTTCATCTTGGAGCCCTTGGTTGTTCCCTGCAGTCATTTCATTGGTTGGTCAAAATTCGCGAAAGGTCGTTCTGACGTGACCTGTAATTGGATGTCCTCAGATCTTTGTCTAGCGGTAACGAGAACTAAAATCTGATTTGAATGAGATTGCTGCAGCTACACTTATGACCTCCTGGTATGTTTTTAGACGGAAGACCTCAAGGAAGATATCGTCACTCAAGAGGGACCTTGACGCCAGAGCTCGGAGTGAGGCCTTCAGGTATGTCAGGATACAGTATTTCCCTGAAGCAATCACATCAAAATCAGATCTCTACCGCCTGTGCAGTGCATCTCTCTTTCTCCATAGGCTTCTCGTGTTACGCATTAAGAGTAGTGTCTGTATGTCTGATCTACAAAAACGAACAGTTCCAAATGGAACATAATAAAGGCTGCACTAATGTATTATTGTGGATATTTTGTACACATATTCGTATTAAAAGCCATGTCATCTCCATCGAAAAGGTTGTTCTATGAAGGAATTATTTTTTTTATTATTTTTTTTTAAAGATCAAAATTTCTGAATAGAAATAATAAAAAGATCGGAGCCAAATCATATTTAAAAGATGTTATCTTGTTACCACAAGAACTCACGCTTCATTAGATTGTCCTATGGAGGGGTATGAAGTTTTTGAGATGGCCCTAGAAATACTTGCATTGGGCTAGAATAGGTCTCTGTACCTTATACATGTAAACTGGGTATTGGGTGGCCAGTACAGTGACCAATTGCGTGTCAAGGTCATCTGATGAAGAAAAAATCAACAGGTTGCCTGGAGAGAAAGTTATAGACCCATGTGTTAGAATTGCTTCCAAGAAACCTAGGCTTGCCGTACGAGGCGGCTTGGTTGATTGTGTGTCATGGTGGCCCGGCAATGAGGGTAGTTGCTCATTATATCAATCACTGGATTGTCTGGTTCATTTTGGATTACATACAGGCCACCATCATAAAGCTGAAATATTGCCGACTGCAGTGTTAAACTAAAAAGAGACAAAACAGTTATTGCATAAGCTGATGCTGGTTTCAGACAAGCGTTCCGGCTGCCCGACGGGGAGAAGTTGGATGGGGACGAGGAGTGTACGCTGTGGACGCCTTACAACAAGCAGCATGTGTGGGGCCGGGTGTACCTCAGCAACAACTACCTGTGTTTTGCTAGTCGGGTTGGTATCCCAGTAAGTTGCCCAGTTACCTCCCTTGGCTTTGGTGCTTCGCCTATGCTTTTCTTCAAAACCCATTATGTCACAAAAATAATGAATCTCATTGATCTAAACTGTATTTTTTGTAACTACATGAGTAAAAATATTTATTTCTGATACCATGATAAATAAAACATTAGATCTTCTCTCCCATTTGCCATACGATTTTGTCCCCAAATCACTATGTGTGATCCCATCTGTCACTGCCATGTGATTCACATCTGTCATAAGTTATGCCTAAAAAAAAGATGTAGGATGTAAAATTCCACCTGCCTGTATTTTGACTACTAAGTTTAAAAGAGTAAATCAAATGTGGCCTTATTTACGTTTCCTCTAAAAATTGTGGTTTTAAGCAAACAGAAAAAAGAAATTGCAATCTACCTCCCTGTGTTCTTATTTTTCAAGTTGTTTCACATGTGGAAATGCTTTAAACTCGAGTGTGTCATTTTCCATTCGGGAATGGCTTTCAAATTGGGCACATTTATGAAAAATGGTTTAATGTTTTAAATGGATGAGTCTTAAGCTGACAACTGATGGCCAGTTATGTGTGATGGAAGTGCATGACAAATCTGAACTTTGTTGATGCAGGTGTTGGTGCAGCTCCTCTCTTCCTTCATCATCCTTGAAAACAATAGTTAGTCTGACGTACTGACACTTTGAACAAACTCTATATATGTGACTGCCGCCATGGTCTAGTGGATAGAGCGTCAGCCCATATAATGAAGGTCAGGAGTTCGATCCACGGTCGCGACATACCAGAAAACGTAGAAAGATGGTACTTGTTGTTACCTTGCCTGGTGTTTGGCCTTTAAGGGACTTGTCGGCTTTAAGTCAGCATACTGTGTCTGATTAGGGTTTTCATGTTAACTGCGTCATGGTATCTCAGTGGGCTAGCTCTATGAATCTGGCATTAGTCTTGTTAGTCTGCATTAGTCTGGACCAGTACAAGCAGTAGCCACAAATTTGTTGAGTTGTCTCCTTGCATTTGTTATTACATGAGAGTGTTGTGGTGTTGCTTGTTCCTTGTTCTGACACATAGACACACCTTTCAGGTACGCGACCTTGTGACTGTCATAATCCCTCTCCGTGACATCCTGGTGGTGGAGAAGGTAGATAACTCCGTGTCGGGGAACCTGATACAGAAAGCACTGCATATAACGACGAAAGGCAAGGTGAGTAGGCGTGGGAAAGGATATCCTGTACTGCCCCTCTGGGGGAATTCTGAGGCAGAATCAAGGGGCACCTGTGGCCCAGTTGTCTAAGATGCTGCAAATTTGCTGTGCAGGGTTACATCCCTTGGGTGTGCTAGGATCATAAGATCATGAGTTCTAATCTCAGATCGCCATGTAGCTGGAAAATTGCTGAGTTAAGTTTTAACAAACAAAAGAGGCTGAGGTTATTTCATACTGTTTGTGGCAAAACAGGCTATAATGAGGATTGGGTGAACACAATGGGAAACATTGATTGTGTTATATCTTGATGATGTTGATTGTGTTATACCCTGATGATGTTGACTGTGTTATACCCTGATGATGTTGATTGTGTTATATCCTGATGATGTTGATTGTGTTATACCCTGATGATGTTGATTGTGTTGTATCCTGATGATGTTGATTGTGTTATACCCTGATGATGTTGATTGTGTTATACCCTGATGATGTTGATTGTGTTGTATCCTGATGATGTTGATTGTGTTATACCCTGATGATGTTGATTGTGTTATACCCTGATGATGTTGATTGTGTTATACCCTGATGATGTTGATTGTGTTATATCCTGATGATACTGATCAAATGTTTCTGACAATTGCGTAAAACTACATTCACTCACCATGCTCAACCACTTTTGTGATGTCTCAAGGTTAAAAGTTGTCCCCGGTATGATGATTGTGAGATTAATGAAAACTTGAAAATGTTGTTACCTCTTCTTTCAGCTCAATTTCACGTTTGCACAGTTTGATGACAGAAACTTCATCCTGGAGAAGATATCCGACTTCCTCTCAAAGCAGTCAATTAACAGAAGGTATGGCTGAAAATGTAAAATGTATCCGACAATATACCAAAGTGCTACTGCCTTACCCTGGCTATGGTTATTATTATTTTTAATATATATAATTCTTGCAAATACCTCACCTCTATTACATCGGTGCCATAAATTCCTGTTTATGCTGAGAACCACACTATAAACTTTTATAAATTTTCAACAGACGTCCTCTTCACTGCCAACATATCTATAGTTGTGAGGGAAACCCTATCCCTTGCACAAAATTTAGAACATATTGTGCCTGGTAAAATAATAGTTTCAGACACTGTTATTTCTGATCATTGCAACAAAATTCTTATCCGTTATATCATTGGGTATGTTTTAACATAATCACCAGTAGATTGGGAGAAAACATGTGTACAGCTGATTGCTATTTCCGACTTTGTTTATGAGAAAATACACACAGTAAACCCTGTGTATAAAACAATGCCTAGCATAACAAGAAATACAATTGAAATGATAAATCGCTATGTCTAGTGATGTTTAATCGCAAATTTCACATTTTCATTGATAGTTTGTCATCGCTTATGTGTTCACCTGCAGCGATACGATGTTGGGATCTTGTTTTTAACTGACAAAAAAATAGTTAGGTGAAAGTGTACTTACTATGGAGTCATTTGTCTGGTCCAAAATCTGGCTCATCTACAGTCATATATGATACATTATGGTAAAAACTTTAAATATTTTTTGTCGACATCAAACTTTTGAAATGCACCTAACACTTAGTGTCCAGTCACTCACTCACCCCATCTGATTGTGTGGCCCTCTGTTTGACAGCAAGAGGAGGACTGTCAGCACATCGTCTGAGGGGAAAGGAAGCATCAGTGGTAAGAAGACATTTGATTTACAGTAAACTACAGTTATAACAAACTGAAAGGGACCACTTATTTTAGTTCGTTATTACTGAAGTTCGTTATGCACATATGCACAGCATATATACAGCAAATGGACGAGACTAAAAAAAAACAGTTCGTTTTATCCGTTAGTTCGTTATAAGCATGTTCGTTATAAACGTAGTTTACTGTAATTCCACATTTATCAAATTACTGGTCCTGTGATCATAAACCTCTCTTCCATGCTTCACAAGCTTGTAGTGAGGGAGTGATTTGGGTTTTACGTCGCTTTTAACAGTATTCCAGTTATATCACGACGTGTCAGTTTAATGTGGGAGGAAGGCCCGAAGTGATGCAGGTCTCAGACGTTTAACACTCCTTGAAACCCACGAGCATGGGTATGGTGCACCGTGCTGACAAACCTAGAAACATCATCGGGGTGAACCGGGATACGAACCCACAATCATAGGTTTCCCAAGTGATGCAACTCTGCACAGCCTTAGACAACTGGGCCACCCGTGCCCCTTCACAAGCTTGTATACACTCATCCATAGTGTATTCAAACCTTTGAAGTATGGATGACCAAAAGAAAAGATCAACTAAATGTTGTTATCATCAGATTCCTGATAGTACAGGTGACGGTTCTGACACTGTAATGTCTATAAGAAGTGTTGTTGCAATCTCATTAAATTCATGTCCGACACTATGACCATCTGTGTAAAGATCTGACCCCCGACCATATTATTGTCCATATATTATTTTGAAGTAGATATTTAATGAAACCTTTTGTTTTTGAGAGCCATGACCTCTAAAGTTAATCAAGGTGGCATAAAATTAAAGCCAAACCGTTTTTGAAATCTGATATCTGATTTGGGGCTCAAGAAGCCCCACTCACATCCTTCATATGATTGTATGGGAAAAGTTTGCCCAGCGATCACCAGCGTTCAACTAGGGCTGGGACGGATAACTTGGCTACGCGGGTCGAGTGGGTCCTGAGTAGGACCCGGGTACAGACAGGACTACCCAGACCCATGGTTAGACACGTGATATATTGTTTAATAACAAAAATGATCTAGAACTCGATGGTTACACTACAAGTCACTAATGTTCACATTTCTTTCTGACTAAGCACACATTACTTATGACTTTTAAATTTTTCAATAAAGATAAAACTTCTGTCAACTCTAGTTCATGCATGACCAGATATTTTAATTCATATGTGTACATCTAAATCGTTTTTCCAGGGCTACGGTCAAACTATTCGCTATCAGACATTTTGTACCCATCTCTTAAGAACCTACAGCAGGTACCCCGGTTGGGTCGGGTAACAGGGGGTCGGGTACTTGGGTAGTAAATTTGGACTCGTCCCAGTCCAAGATGAGACTCCAATGGAGGGGTTTTCAGATCTTCACACAAAATCGGATCAGATTCTTATGAGATTGTCTCAGCTATTTGAACAAATTCAGAGCAATGACAATGCTATTTCAGAGATAACAATCATTATGATTATGAGTACAATATTTTCAACCTGTTCCCATCAATACGATTAAGGGAAATATATTAATGAATAAATTTTCCAGACTAAAACAGCAACATTGCCAGTAATTTTGATTGATTATTAACTTACAACTTCTTTGTCACATATCCACTTGTTTGAGTTAAGATGACAAAATGATGTGCAAAAGATTATTTATTTTCATCCAAACCATACAGTTAATTCAGCTAATAAAGATCAGAGTTCTAGATAAGCTATTGAGTATTTTACCCATCTGTTTGATTTTGATTGAATTGAATTTTGCTTTTGGCTCTTACACAATCGGTTTATCTAACTGTTGTAATATATTAGATTTTATGGCTTTTGGTGCATATTTGATACGTCATGATTTGATTTGTCTGCATATTGCAGTATATTCATGCTTATTTTTCATGAGTGAGTGAGTGAGTTGGGTTTAATGCCGCTTTTAACAGTATTCCAATTATATCACGGCGTGTCAGCTTAATGTGGGAGGAAAGCCTGAAGTGATGCAGGTCTCAGACGTTTACCACTTCGGTGAAATCCACGAGCACGGGTAAGGTGCTGACAAACCTAGAAGCATAATCGGGGTGAACCGGGTTTCGAACCCACAATCATAGGTTTCTGGCGTGCCCAAGGGACGCAACTCTGCACAGCGAATTGTGGCGCCCTAGACGTGGGGCCACCCGTGCCCCCTATTTTTCATGAATCATAGCTTATCTGGAGCTCTGAATGATCACTAATTATTTTTTATAAAATTACCAATTTAGGCAGTTATTCCAGATATTCCTAATAGGTTGTGGTTTGCATCGCTGCTGTTTGACCATGTGTCCTTGGTCTGTAATGTGTGTCTAAATACCTGTTCCAGAGGAGCCTGATGAGGAACAGTTTCAGCCGGCCCTCATCAGTCTGTTCTGCCGCCGCGACTCGGATGAGCTGTCTTCCAGAGAAACCGTCAAACAACACTTGTGGGACGTATACTTCTCTGAATATGGCAGGTGGGTTGAGACGTCAATGTCAAGGTTAAGGTCAAGGTCAAGGTCAAGGTCAATGTGGACCGTATGCCAGAATGCTATTTTACTCTGCTTCAAGTAGATTTTAGATAGTTGTAGTACTAAGACTGCCATAAGACCCTTATTTTCAAATTGATTTATGACCAGAGATAAATCTAGGTCACAAGATCTCTGGATTCGCACAATATCATTGCACGATTCTGCTAAAGTATTTCTCTTGGAGATTATTCACTCACAAATATGAGCTGTCATGCATTTTGGTTGTGTTATGGATGACCAGTTGTCATTGGATGCAATCTCCAAGGATACTTATAATAGTCAAGAAGGAAATAACATGTACACTGCTCTCATGTTAGATGGAGGAACATCGTGTATGCCAAACCTGTGACATATTGATGATGAGAATGAGTGGTCCTGTTGTCTAAGGTACTGCAATTTATTGTGCAGAGTTGCATCCCTTATCTTTGCCAGGATCTTATGATGGCATTCCCCAGGTTATGATTCACAACTATTGTGCCCAATCATATACTTCCTGGGTGCATCACAAACACATGTTACCCATGAAGATGCGGGGTAGAATAGGTAGGTCTTCAGCAACCCACGGTTGCCATAAAAGGCGACTATGCTTGTCGTAAGAGGTGACTAATTGGATCAGGTGGTCAGGCTTGCTGACTTGGTTGATGCATGTCATCGTATCCCAATTGCATGGATCGATGCTCATGATGTCAGTCACTATAAAAGTCAGTCACTGCTTGTTGTAAGAGGCGACTAATAGGATCAGGTTGTTAGGCTCGCTGACTTGGTTGATGCATGTCATCATATTCCAATTGCATGGATCGATGCTCATGATGTCAAGCACTGGATTGTCTGGTCCAGACTTGATTATTTACAGACCGCCGTCATGAAGTTGGAATATTGCTGAGTGCAGCATCAAACAACAAACAAACAAACACATGTTTGATTCTGTCTGTTATTCCCTACCCCAGGGGCATGTGTTCGTACCGCACCCATCGCACCCTGGAGCTCATCCTGAAGGGCATCCCTGACAAGTACCGGGGGGAGACGTGGATGATCTTTTCTGGTGCCCTGAATGAGGTGAGACAGCCACCTTGTGTAGCGGATAGAGAGTCTGCCCTGAGAGAGGAAGGCTGGTCGTTCGATCCCCAGCTGCATCCCACCAAAATATGTTAAAAGATACTACTTGTTGTTACTCTGCCTTGCGCTCGGCTTTAAGGGGGATAAAACAAGGACTGTTTGGCTCGGAGTCAGTACACTGTGTCGGAGTAGGCTATCCATTGCAGCATGGTATCTCAGTGGCCTATCACTCTAAAAGTGGCATTAGTGTGAACTTGTACATGCAGCCACACACAAGGGCATGCCCAGCGCTCTATTAGTGCGATAATCTTAAACATTAAACTCCATATCACCTCTAGTAGATTCAAATCTGTGCACATGTTTGGGAGATAATCGTTATATTTTTGCAGATTTTATTGAATAATGTCTGTGCATTGAAAAAACAGTGACACTCACAAATCTGAAAAAAACCCATAAGGTTTATTGACATTGTAAATATATACAGTTGTGATACCTGCACAAAGTCATGCTAGAATGCTATGATGTCATCCATATCTATCCAATGCAACATGTTTTGAAACGGTTGTATTGTTGCCATGCCAAATGTTTCATTTCTCGACCCGTGAAGATCCGGGGAAGAATAGGCCTTCAGCAACCCATGCTTGCCATAACCGGTGACTATGCTTGTCATAAGAGGCAACTAAAGGGATCATGTCATCCCTTTAGCATGTCATCGTATATCAATTGCGTGGATCTTTGCTCATGATATCAATCACCGTATTGTCTGGTCCAGACTCAATTATTTACAGACCGCCGTCATATAGCTGGAATATTGCTGAGTGCACTGTTAAAAAAAAATCAAATCAAAATCAAATGTTTCATTTCACAATTTCTGATGTGATACCAGTCAGTGATAGAGAAATGTTTTTGTATTTAAGATGAACACGAACCCCGGCTACTATGCAAATATTGTGAACCAAAGTAAAGGGAAGTCCACCATTGCCACTGAGGAGATTGAAAGAGACTTACACAGGTACAGTTCTCCACAGATTGTTCCCATGTACAAACCAAACACTGTCCAAATCTAGGCACTAGCTGAGAGTTTTGAATAAAAACGAAGGACCTGCAATCGCATAATACTGTGAAATCTTGTCAACTCAAAGTCTTGTTAAGCATGAAAATGTAGATAATTTATATAAAAAGGCAGATGCAGACAAAACACTGACATGCAGACACAATCTCAAATAAATATGATGTTTGACTCGGGACACGATACTTCTCTGTGTCAGGTTTGACCTCTGCATGGGAGGACTTTTCGGGTGAACTCTGAACGTACTTTCACTGCCCAGCCTACATTAAGGATGTGTGGATGTTTCAAAAACGATTCGGCTTCAACGTTGTGTCACTTTGATTTGCAAATGTTGATATTTAACAAAAGAAAACCCACAGAGAACACAAACATTTCCTCTTGTAAAGTCTTTTGCGTTCAGAGGCCGTGGCTCTCAAAACCAACTGTGAACTTTGTCTGACAATCTGAAGGAAGGATGCATGGTTTTTGAGACAATCAGATGTCAGCTTTCTAAACTGATTTCACTCCATCTCAGTTGGGATATTTTAATTTTAACGAAAGAATGCCCACACAGAAATATTTCTTCTATGGTGGTCCGTTTTGAGTGTAGATGACATGGCACTCAGGAAGTGACAGGGTGTATAAAAAATTTGCAGCAATATCATTATCCAACCTTTTTTATTTCCATTCAGAACTGTCCGTTTGTTTTTAAGCTACAAAAATCACATTTGCTTCTCAGAAGTCTTGATGATGATTGGTTGATTAGCAACCTCCTATGGATTGGTTTCAGATATTCCTGCAGAGAGCTATCATATATCCAAGTATAATATCAGATTTGTTTTTAGATTGATGTAGAAAGGGATTCTGTGTGAATATACATAATCTGAAAGGGAGACTATGCTCCATGGTCAGGTATCCATGATCAGGTCTAGACACTGGTCAGTGCCATGTGTGGAACAAAGACATTGTCTTTGAATAATATAGATTTACCAATAATTGATGGACATTGTAAACTTGAATTACATTCATCCAACTTGCTGGGACTGCCTGACCTGAGCTTTGCTTCATTGTCTGTACATCACCCTGATGTTTTGTTGCCCAGATCATTGCCGGAACACCCAGCCTTCCAGACTGACCTGGGCATCGGGGCGCTGCGGAGGGTGCTGACGTCCTACGCCTGGAGGAACCCCAACATAGGTGAGACTGTACTCTTCGAGCCTCATCAGAAACCAGCAGTGTCTGAAATAGTTGCCTGCCTGCTATCCTGTGGCTGGTAACAAATCTGTTGGATACGGGATATTTGTTCCCACCTACCTGAAAATGCCAGCCCATATTATTGTATATATTTTCACAGTCAGTGCAGATTTACTATATTTTCTGCAAATTTCTATATAATTTCATTCCATGTTAACATTGCATGGTTATCAGTTTCTGTGTTTATGAACTTTAAAGTGTGTCTGATTGGTTCATCTGGGGAAGCGGACCAATCATAGTAGAGGTTACAACCAATGACGTCCCTCTGACAAAATGGCAATACGGAAGTCACTGTACAGTATTTTTAGTTTTGAAGCATGTTATTGCTCGGCCCCTGGTTTAGGCTATATATTCATGATTTATGATGTAACAGTCAAACATATGTAAGTTTTGAGAAATGCGAGCCTGTAACTTTCAAGATGATCCAGTTACATTATGAGTAATCAGCCTGCCTAGCTTGTGGGGAGTAAAAAGTATTTCAGACACTGGAAACTATCACATATGAGATACAAACACGACAGAACAGTGAGTGATTGAGTGACTTGGGATTATGCCCCTTCAAACAATATTTCTGCACACCTTTGTTTCTGCTTCACTGAGGGACCTGGGTTAGAATCTAGCACTCTATTTCTTGTCATGAGAACGCCGAAGACCCGGGTTCGATTCCCGACATGGGTACAATGTGTGAAGCCCATTTCTGGTGTCCCCCGCCGTGATATTGCTGGAATATTGCTAAAAGCGGCGTAAAACCATACTCACTCACTCACTCTTGTCATGAGATGTGATTAGATTGGATCTGGGGGTCAGGCTTGGATGATGGCAAGATGCTCAGAATATCAACCACTGGGTTGTCTGTCCCAGACCCAATAACAATCTCATTTAAAACAGATCTCACTTTTTGCTACCGCTAAACAAAGATCTGAGGACATTACAGATCACGTCAGAGCGACCTTTTGCGAACTTTGACTGAGCAATAAACATGATAAAATGACTTACAAGAAGTTGGCATTTGTCATTCAGAAAGCAGTTTTCTCGAGCTTCACAGCACTAGTTTCAAAATGGTGACTTCCATTCCAGACTATGCTTTAAAAATATGGACTCAAAATTTAAAAACTTAACAAAAGAAAATTTCTTAAATGTTTATTGGATAGCTGAGATTGTATGGCAGTACTTCCTATCCTAATGAGACATAGATAATAATTTTTATGGAATCTGTCGTACAGCATGGAAATGTCATTCGAAATACCCCGTTTTAACCATTAGCATCATTAGAAAACACATTCCGACGGTCACTTTCCCGATCTAGTAAGCAACGCTCTGATTGGTTGGATGAAAGGTCGTTCTGACGTGATTGGATGTCCTCAGATCTTTGTTTAGCGGTAGCGAGAACTATAAGATGTGGTTTTAATTAGATTGGACCGAATAATTACAAGCTGGCGTAATATAGTTTAAATATGGGTGATCTATAGCATGAAGGTGTGTTTCAGGTTACTGTCAAGCTATGAACATCGTGACCAGCGTGCTGCTGCTGTACACAAGTGAGGAGGAGGCGTTCTGGCTGCTGACGGCCATCTGTGAGAGACTTCTTCCAGACTACTACAACACTAAGGTGGTCGGGGCGCTCATTGATCAAGGTACTACTAGTAATGGCCAGAAACACACTCATCTCTTGTAGTACTCAATTGCAGACTTGCAGATATGACTTAGGGTTTGTGGAGATGGGAATGTTGTGTTGACTGCTTCAGGGGTGTTCGAGAAGGTGATCCGTGACTATATTCTGAGTCTGTTTCAGGGGTGTTCGAGAAGGTGATCCGTGACTATATTCTGAGTCTGTTTCAGGGGTGTTCGAGAAGGTGATCCGTGACTATATTCTGAGTCTGTTTCAGGGGTGTTCGAGAAGGTGATCCGGGACTATATTCTGAGTCTGTTTCAGGGGTGTTCGAGGAGCTGATCCAGGACTAGATTCTGAGTCTGTTTCAGGGGTGTTCGAGGAGCTGATCCAGGACTATATTCTGAGTCTGTTTCAGGGGTGTTCGAGGAGCTGATCCGGGACTACATCCCGAGTCTGTACCAGAAGCTGGACACCCTGGGGCTGCTGTCGATGATCTCCCTGTCCTGGTTCCTCACCATTTTCCTCAGGTCAGCTACTGGTGACCATAATGGCCAACTAAGTAATAAAAAATACATATCCTTTTGGCCTATCATAATGGTATGTGTTTGCTTCAAATTTGGGATTGATGTAAATGATAATTACATTAAGTAATACGTTACCACTGTTATACCGAGGCTGTTGTCTCCCACAACTGCTGCTATAGCGAAATCTACCACAGAGATCTCAATTACCTCATGCAGCACGTGCGTAGCCACCTAGCTGCCATGTGACACCCTTCACTCTTGTCTCCTTCGTCTGCTTAGCAAGACGTGTTTTCTCCTGCTGAAGCGTTCCTTGAAGATTTGGTGATATTTATTATAGTTTATTCTCTAATAAACTGTGCTTTTATGGGTCGTTGCGGTAGCTACGTTTGGTTATAATTTTCCCGCCAAACGGAAAATTTTTCCCGCCCTTTTTTCTATATACTTGCGGGGTTCGCGTATGCACGTTGTGTTTTACGTTTCCCCTGTTCTTGTATGTTTTGGGGGTTAACATAACTTATTTCTTTAATAAAAGTTATATGTGTATGTTATATGTTCACATTGCTCGTTTATTTTCTTGTGAAAATGTTCGTTTGTGAATCATTGTGGTGGGTGCGTTGTAACCATGTTTTGTTCTTTGTTTATAGCAAACAATCAATGTCTGACATGGATATGTCCCCAGTATCCACCCCCTCTACCCCTGCTCCTCGGAGTTGTGGGGTGTGCAGAAAGTTTTTGTCGTCCCGGGATCCCCACGATCGTTGCCCGCGGTGCAGGGTTCCTTGCGGGGACACCCGGTGCATCCTGTGCGAAGGTCTGGGGCCTGCGGAGTTTGAGCGGTACCGGCTGTACGTACAGTCCGTCTCCACCCCTGTGGTGGCCGGTTCGTCCGGTCGGGGTCCCCGTGCGGGTACCACCTCCTCGGCTGCGGCGGATCCCCTTGCGGCCCTCGGGCTGTCTGGGGATGCCGTCGCCGCATTGTTGTCGAAACTTGTGGACTCCAAGCTGGCGGCCTTATCGCAAGATAGGCCGCTGGCTGTTCCGTCCCCGGCCTCTTCGGTGGCCGCGGGGTCCACCGGTAAAGCGGCGGATCTCTTGGCGGCCTGTGTGCTGTCCGGGGATTCCGTCGCTGCATTACTTGCATAACTTGTGGACTCCAAGCTGGCGGCCTTATCTCAGGATAGGCCGCTGGCTGTTCCGTCCCCGGCCACTTCGGTGGCCGCGGGGTCGGACGCGGGGTCCACCGGTACGGCGGCGGCTCCCGTGGTCACCGGTCCTTCCCCCGAACCGTTGCTCCCGCTATCGGTTTAGGACCGCGTGGCCATGGTTTATGACCTCTTTGAGGACATGCCCCGGCCGGTACCGCGGGGAATCCACGACTGTGGGTTCCTCCGAGGTATACGATGAGTCTTCCGACACGGCTGCGCGGTTTCAAGCCTTCCTTGGAGAACGACTTCGCGGCGGCCTCCGGTCGGGGTCTCCCGTTGCCTCCGACGTCGTGGAGAAAGGGTTTATTCCCGGTACATGACCTTGCCTTTCCCGAGGCTGGTCCTACCGCGGAGGCCAATGTTGAGCGGTTGGGTGTCCGTGCCCCACCGGCTGCTACGGTAACGCAAGCTACCTTGCACCAGCTGGACGCCCTCGCTCGGCACTCCATGTCTCACGGAGACACTTACTTGGCTGCAGCGGCCCGTCTGGTCGTAGGTTCTCCCACGGACCGTGACCAGCGCATTTACAATTGCCTGCTCAGTTTAAATGCTTCCCTGGAGTACGTTGCCGAGGACTCTCGGCACACACTTGCTCTTGTTGGGTCCCTGCATAGGCGCCTGGGTGCTGCTCCTAACCGGAGCGCGCCCCAGGCTGCTGCGGCATGTAGGTCTAAGGGGTCGGGTTCTTCTTCCTCTGGGAAGTAGCCCCGCCCTGAGGGCTCCGGTATGGGCAATCAGCTGCCCTTTCGCGGGAAGACGGGGAACTGGGGAAGCCCAAGTCGTCGACGGACGGCAAGGGCCCCTCCAGGTGACTCTCATTGGAGGGGTTCGTATGCCGACAGCGCCAACTTCGGTTGGCCCTTAGGCGAACCCGAGTCACTTGGCCCTGGACAGTTGCGCCTGCCGCAACCTGTCAGGGCCCCCTCTCCTTCCCCAGTGGGAGCCAGACTCCAGACTTACTGGGAGAATTGGGAACAAGTGTTCGACGACCCGTGGGTGGTCAACACGATTCGGTACGGCTATCGGCTTGATCTCAAAGCGAATCCGCCGCTCACCGTTGCCCCGTTGGCAGGTTTCGATTCGGAAACCGATCTTCCCATCCTCGCCGATGCCATCGGCAGGTTGGTGGAGAAGGGGCAGTACGGGAGTTAGCTCTACCAGAAATAACACCGGGGTTTTACTCCAGGATATTTCTCGTTCCCAAGTAGGACAGTGCCGAACTCAGAATGATTCACACGTCCGCTCCCTGGCTGTTCACCCGGTTAACCACCCCCATAGTGGGGTTCCTCCACAGGAGGGGTGTCCGGTACTTCGCGTACCTGGACGACTCGCTAGTAGCAAATCGAATGACGGACACCCTGTCACGCCATCTCGATTTCGCACGTCGGCTCTTGGAGCAATTTGGGTGGATTATCAATCTCACCAAGAGCGAGTTAACCCCTTCTCAGAACTTGCTGTTCATCGGAGGTCGGTTCAACACGGTGTCCCATCGTCTCTTTGTCCCCCCAGACCGGTGGCACAAAATTCAGGCGATGATTGCCAAAGTCTTAGCGGTGCAACAGACTGTTCACTTTTGGTCACAGCTGTTAGGGCTACTTGTATCAGCCCAGGACTGCACCGCACGGGGTCGTCTCCAACTCCGCCCGCTGCAACGGTTTTTAATCCAGTTGTTAGCAACGGAGGTGAACAGTGCGACCGTCGCCCTCCCAGATCGGCTCCGACCGCATCTGGAGTGGTGGACGGTCCCTTACATTGTCTTATCAGGAGTCTTTATGCGGCCCTACCGGGCCACGTTGACCCTGTATACAGACGCCTCCCTAGTGGGCTGGGGCGCCCATCTAAAGGGGGAGGTGAGCTCGGGGCTGTGGTGCGTAGACGAACTAGGTCTTCACATCACTTGTCTCGAGTTCAAGGCAGTGATCAACGCAGTCAATCACTGGAAGCATCGTCTCGTCGACGCCCGGCTCATGCTGGCGACCGACAACACGACGGTAGTGTCCTATGTGAACAAACTGGGGGGAACCCACAGTCACTCGCTACTCGATCTCACGTTCGAGTTTTACGCTCTGGTGGACAGTGTCCCGTGCCAGATACGCGCCCGTCACATCCCAGGTGTGGGAACGTACTGGCCGATGCTCTATCGAGGCCTCAGGATCCGAGCCCCACAGAGTGGATGCTGAACCCAGTAGTGTTTCAGTGGCTGTGCGAACGTTTGGGTCGTCCGATGGTCGACCTGTTCGCAACGCGGTTCAACAATCAACTCCCGTTGTTTGTATCACCAGTCCCGGACCCGAGGGCCATCGATCACGATGCTCTCGCGTTAGACTGGACGGGCTTGATCGCTTATGCTTACCCGCCGACAGCGTTGATACCACACATTCTAAGCCGGCTCCGAGGAGTTCGCTGTCGAATGTTACTGATCGCGCCCATGTGGCCGAACAGATCGTGGTACCCCGACTTGCTGACCCAGGTCACGCAGTCGCCACTCCCACTGCCTGTGAGACCGGATCTCTTGATCCACCCTCACACCCGTCAGCTTCATCCAAACGCAGGGCAGTTCAATCTGCACGCGTGGATGTTGTCACCGAGCGTCTGAGGAGTAAAGGTTTTTCTCGCCGGGCGTCTCGGGCATACGTTAGTATGCATCGTGATTCTACCCAGAAGGTGTATAATGCACGTTGGGTTATTTTCACGAAGTGGTGTTGTAAACATCACATTCATTCGCCAGATAAGGTATCTGTGCAGGATATTGCTCGTTTCATGTCTCACTTGCGAGAGACCCGGAAACTCTCCGGGGGTTCCATTGCCAACTATGTCTCGTCCGTTGCTACGGTACGGGACGTTGCTATGGGTACCAGTCTCTCCAAAGAGCCGGTGATACGGGGTATTATCAAGGGTTTCAAACAGCACGATCTTAAGAAGGGCCGCCTTCGGGCACCGGCCTGGGATCTTTCCCTAGTGTTGCAATCACTTACGGAAGCTCCGTATGAACCCTTGCACAGTGCTTCGTTCCGGCATGTGACTTGGAAAACAGCATTTCTCCTCTCCTTTGCCACGGCGGCACGTGTATCCGAAATTCATGCACTCGATGTCGCCAAGGTACGATTCGATAGGGGTGACGAAGGAGCGGTCCGCCTGGGCCTGCTCATGGGCTTCGTCGCCAAGAATCAGAGAGTCGGGCAAACGGAGAGAGGTTTCACTGTAAGATCACTCAAAGAAATCTTACATCCTGCTGATACTGAGGACAGAGCGCTGTGTCCGGTTAGGGCCCTTAAGTATTATCTTAAGGCTTCGAATGAACGTAGACAAGGGCGTGACCGTCTGTTCATATCGTGTAACCCTAATCGCACGGTTGACATAACTCGCAACTAGATTGCGTTGTGGCTTCGTTCTGTCATCAATCTGGCATACCGGTCTCGGGGGTTACCGGTAGCGGGGTCAAACCCGCACGAGATCAGGGCGCTAGCGGCAACATTTGCCCTACACTCGAATATCTCTGTTCGCAGAATATTACGAGGTTGTTACTGGCGTTCTGACTCGGTTTTTGCCAATCATTACCTCAAACAGGTCGCTGATGCCGTCGTGGAGAGTGTGCACCGTCTTGGCCCGCGGATCGCGGCGCAAGCGGGCACCTAAGGGGTGTGCCCAGCGCAATTCCGAACTCCTCAGGCGTCTGACCTTGCACGGTGGTCAATCTGGGTCGACTCAAATGTTCCCACTGCCGTGGGTACAGGAGTTGGGGTCCCGCAAACCAGCGCACTCACACCACAGGTGAGGGCGGCTTTTTGTGTGCTTTGTCCTTATTTGTATTTTGACAATTATGTCTTTAATTGTCTGTCGTGTATCCCAACCTTGTGATGCATGCTTACAAATACTGGAATTAGGTCACGCGCCTAATGCATACTTTAAGTAGGCTTGCTCTGGGATATACGGTCTGAATGAAATTAATTTCCCTCTTTTCGACTGTTTAACCTGATCTAAGATTTAGCTCACACGGATACTGTGTTCTCATCCGCTGCGGCGATGAAATACCTATCCAGTGGGGCCGTTTGGAGTCACCAATCGTTTTGGCAATGACGATTGAGCCTTACGGTATGCGCTTGACAGTGCTTTGGTATTCCTATAGGGTAACGCCTAGCTAGGTGCATGCGCATCGAGTGCTTCCGCCTTGGTGTTTACTTCCGCTGGTCGGAAGGAACGCTAGCAGTCAGGATTCGGGTTGTAGGTGCTCCCCACCGCCTACTGTGGTAGTCAGCCTCGGTATAACAGTGGTAACGTATTACTTAATGTAATTTGTAGAATTTTCCTATTCGGAATATTCTATAAGTAATACGTTACCACTGGGCTGCTGCCCGCCCGTCCGTCCCCCGAGCACTTGCTCTCGCAAGAGACAAGAGTGAAGGGTGTCACATGGCAGCTAGGTGGCTACGCACGTGCTGCATGAGGTAATTGAGATCTCTGTGGTAGATTTCGCTATAGCAGCAGTTGTGGGAGACAACAGCCTCGGTATAACAGTGGTAACGTATTACTTATAGAATATTCCGAATAGGAAAATTCTACAACTTTTCAAGAAAAAGGTATTCATACTCATATGAAAATCTGCAAAACACTCTCCCTTTCATTTTACAGTAGATATTCCTGGACACCCTCACACGCAACCATTCAACCACACCCACACCCACACCCACACCCACACCCTCTAACCACCCCCCCACACAACCACTCACCCCCCCACACACCCACACAGGCAACCACTTATCCACGCACCCACACACTCATCTTCCTACCCACACACTCACACCCACGAACCCAAATACACACTGCATACTCTAACAACCCAAACAACACTCACTCACTCACTCACTCACTCACTCACTCACTCACTCTTGGGGGAAAGAGTGTTTGATAACTGTAAAATAACCTTCCTTACATACATTTCTTGAGTGTATAATGAGATCATGTTTGTTTTTGCAGTGTGATGCCGTTCAACTGTGCCGTCAACATCTTGGACTGTTTCTTCTTCGATGGCGCCAAGGTAAAACAGCAGCTTTAATACAGGGTTGAGAACTTGGGACTGAAGTTAGTCACTAGATGACAATTTTGGCAAGATTTTAATCACTGCGAGAATCCAGGTTAGAATAGATCCTCAGTACTCTGATGCTTGCAACTAACATCCAAGGGGTGGTAAAACTTGGTGAAAAGGTTAATTGTGTGTCATCATACCCAGATGGAGAAGACTTGGTGACATGGTTAGTTGTGTGTCATCATAGCCTGATGAACCGGACTTGGTGACTTGGTGACATGGTTCATTGTGTGTCATCACAGTCTGAGGAACCAGACTTGGTGACTTGGTGACACGGTTCATTGTGTGTCATCGTAGCCTGATGGATCAGACTTGGTGACATGGTTCATTGTTTGTCATTGTAGCCTGATGAACCGGACTTGGTGACATGGTTCATTGTTTGTCATCGTAGCCTGATGAACCGGACTTGGTGACTTGGTGACATGGTTCATTGTGTGTCATCACAGTCTGAGGAACCAGACTTGGTGAAATGGTTCATTGTTTGTCATCGTAGCCTGATGAACCAGACTTGGTGACATGGTTCATTGTGTGTCATCGTAGCCTGATGGATCAGACTTGGTGACATGGTTCATTGTTTGTCATTGTAGCCTGATGAACCGGACTTGGTGACATGGTTCATTGTGTGTCATCGTAGCCTGATGAACCGGACTTGGTGACTTGGTGACATGGTTCATTGTGTGTCATCACAGTCTGAGGAACCAGACTTGGTGAAATGGTTCATTGTTTGTCATTGTAGCCTGATGAACCAGACTTGGTGACATGGTTTATTGTGTGTCATCGTAGCCTGATGGACCAGACTTGGTGACATGGTTCATTGTGTGTCATCGTAGCCTGATGAACCGGACTTGGTGACTTGGTGACATGGTTCATTGTGTGTCATCACAGTCTGAGGAACCAGACTTGGTGAAATGGTTCATTGTTTGTCATTGTAGCCTGATGAACCAGACTTGGTGACATGGTTTATTGTGTGTCATCGTAGCCTGATGGACCAGACTTGGTGACTTAGTGACATGGTTAGTGTGTCATTACAGTTTGATGAACCAGACTTGGTGACTTAGTGAGGTGAGGTGACATTGGGTTTAACGTCGCGTCCAAGATTATTGCACTTATATAGCGACGTGCATGTACGTGTGTGTGTTTGTGTGGCTGCTTGTACTAGTCCGGACTGATGCCGATTTATAGTGCTAGCCCACTGAGATACCATGCTGCAGTTTAACACGAATACCCCACTCAGACACAGTATACTGACTCCGAGCGGACCATTCCTTGTTTTAGCCCCTTAATGCTGAGCGCCAGACAGGATTACAACAAGTACCATCTTTTAACGTCTTTTTGTATGACGCGGCCGGGGATCGAACCCCGGACCTTCCGCTCTCCGGGCGGACGCTCTACCACTAGACCACGGAGGCGGTTTGGTGACTTAGTGACATGGTTAATTGTGTGTCATCACAGTCTGAGGAACCAGACTTGGTGAAATGGTTCATTGTTTGTCATCGTAGCCTGATGAACCAGACTTGGTGACATGGTTCATTGTGTGTCATCGTAGCCTGATGGATCAGACTTGGTGACATGGTTCATTGTTTGTCATTGTAGCCTGATGAACCGGACTTGGTGACATGGTTCATTGTGTGTCATCACAGTCTGAGGAACCAGACTTGGTGAAATGGTTCATTGTTTGTCATCGTAGCCTGATGAACCAGACTTGGTGACATGGTTTATTGTGTGTCATCGTAGCCTGATGGACCAGACTTGGTGACTTAGTGACATGGTTAGTGTGTCATTACAGTTTGATGAACCAGACTTGGTGACATAGTGAGGTGAGGTGAGGTGAAATTGGGTTTTACGTCGCGTCCAAGATTATTGCACTTATATAGCGACGTGCATGTACGTGTGTGTGTTTGTGTGGCTGCTTGTACTAGTCCGGACTGATGCTGATTTATAGTGCTAGCCCACTGAGATACCATGCTGCAGTTTAACACGAATACCCCACTCAGACACAGTATACTGACTCCGAACGGACCATTCCTTGTTTTAGCCCCTTAATGCCGAGCGCCAGACAGGATTACAACAAGTACCATCTTTTAACGTCTTTTTGTATGACGCGGCCGGGGATCGAACCCCGGACCTTCCGCTCTCCGGGCGGACGCTCTACCACTAGACCACGGAGGCGGTTTGGTGACTTAGTGACATGGTTAATTGTGTGTCATCGTAGTCTGATGAACCATACTTGGTGACATGGCTCATTGTGTGTCATCGTAGCCTGATGGACCAGACTTGGTGACTTGGTGACATGGTTCATTGTGTGTCATCGTAGCCTGATGGATCAGACTTGGTGACATGGTTTATTGTTTGTCATCAAAGCCTGATGAACCAGACTTGGTGACATGGTTCATTGTTTGTCATCGTAGCCTGATGAAACAGACTTGGTGACATGGTTCATTGTGTGTCATCATGGTCTGATGAACCAGACTTGGTGACTTGGTGACATAGTTAATTGTGTATCATCACAGTTTGATGAACCTGACTTGGTGACTTGGTGACATGGTTCATTGTGTGTCATCGTAGCCTGATGAACCAGACTTGGTGACATGGTTCATTGTGTGTCATCGTTGTCTGATGAACCAGACTTGGTGACATGGTTCATTGTGTGTCATCGTAGCCTGATGGTCCAGATTTGGTGACTTGGTGACATGGTTCATTGTGTGTCATCGTAGTCTGATGAACCAGACTTGGTGACATGGTGACATGGTTCATTGTGTGTCATCGTAGTCCGATGGTCCAGATTTGGTGACTTGGTGACATGGTTCATTGTGTGTCATCGTAGTCTGATGGTCCAGACTTGGTGACTTGGTGACATGGTTCATTGTTTGTCATCGTAGCCTGATGAACCGGACTTGGTGACATGGTTCATTGTGTGTCATCGTAGCCTGATGGATCAGACTTGGTGACATGGTTCATTGTGTGTCATCGTAGCCTGATGGACCAGACTTAGTGACATGGTGACATGGTTAATTGTGTCTCATCGGTTGATGCATGTCGTCGTATCCCTAATGCATGGATTGATGCTCAAGATGTCAATCACTGGATTGTCTGGTCCAGTCTCGATTATTTACAGACCGAAGTGATATAGCTGTAAAATTGCAGAGTGCGGATTTAAACAACAAACAAACAAAAAATCATACTGATGATGTTGTATGCTGGATGAAAGGGCTGGTCCTTTGGTTTTGGATTCGCTGTTCTTCAGAGGGTTAGATTAGATAGAAATAGGAAAGAAAATGACTTTTGCTGTGCTGTCCATGACTGGGAATTACTATTGCAGGTGATATTTCAAATAGCTTTAACCATCCTTGACAACAAGAGTGGGGAGCTGCTGGGGTGTGCGGAGGATGGGGAGGCCATGACTGTTCTGTGTCAGTACCTGGAGAACGTGACCAACCGGGACTCCACCATGCCACAAGTACAGCACACCTCCAACATGTCCCGCTCACAGGACCAGGTATGTCTGGGGTCACTCTCTGGCTGCTACTACACACCCACACACCCTCTAACACCCTCTTACCACCGACACACCCTCTAACACCCTCTTACCACCGACACACCCTCTAACACCCTCTTACCACCGACACACCCTCTAACAACCTATACACCCTCTAACACCCTCTAACACCCTCTAACCACCCACACACCCTCTAACCACCCTCACACCCTCTAACACCCTCTAACACCCTCTAACCACCCACACACCCTCTAACACTCTCTAACAACCCACACACCCTCTAACCACCCACACCCCCACACCCTCTAACACCATCTAACACACTCAAACCACCCTCACACCCTCTAACACTCTCTAACCACCCTCTAACACCCTCTAACCACCCACACACCCTCTAACACCCTCTAACCACCCACACACCCTCTAACCACCCACAAACCCTCTAACCACCCACACCCCCACCCACACACACCCACAAACACCCTTTAACAACCCACAAACGCAAACACCCACCCACCCACACACCCTCTCTAACCACCCACACACCCTCACACGCAACCACTCACCCACCCACACACCCACAAACACCCTCTAACCACCCACACACCCTCTAACCACCCCCCCCCCCCCACACACACACACACCCTCTAACCACCAACACACCCTCTAACCACCCACACACTCTCACAGGCAACCACCCACCCTTACACCCACCCATACACACACACAGGCAACCACTCACCAACACATGCAACCACTCACCCATAAACACCCTCTAACCACTCACACACAACCACTCATCTACACACCAATCCACCCAAATACACACCCACTCACTCACTCACTCTCACTAACTCACTCACTCACTCACTCACTCACTCACTCACTCACTCTGTTTTTCAGTCGTCCGTTGACGTGACAGATTTGATTGACAGCAGTTACCGGAAGTTTGGCATCATCACCAATCAGGACATCGAGCAACTTCGTCTCAAGTACCGACTTAGGGTTGTACAGGTAGGACTTGCTCCACCAATCATTATTCATGGGCCAAAAGTTGTTTGCCATCCTTGTTGATGTTCATGCCGTTTCAGTGTAGCAAAATAATGTTCACAGCATCATGTTGGAAGTCACGCAGTTTATAGGATACATGTCAAACATATTTCATTGATGGTTCTTATAAAGTTTCAGTATAGAGCCACGCTGATAATAACGTTCCCAAAGCTCACCCTCTAAGACTCTCTTTGGCCCTCACTTTATCAATAAGTATAACATACTGATAGTCACTGATTGTTTCAGACAATTGAGGACAACGTGATGAAGAACATTGTTCGCAGTGTGTCATCGGATACACTATTTGAGGGCAAGGAGCTCGCCGACCTGTACATTCTCTTCAAGGTCAGTGATATACTCAGGATGTTGATATGATGCCACACTGCTGTGGGATGCTATAGGATTTAAACAAAACAAAGAAGTTGTTCCATTATATGCTACCAAAAATTAATTTGTGGTGAGGTTTTGAAGAAAACACATTGTTCACTTGATTTGCCAGATTTTTTGAAAAATAAAGTAAACAGATTTTAGTTTTCTTCTTTCTGAGAAAATAGTTGGTATGGCTTGAAACAGTGTCTGAAGAAATATCGTATCTTAAGCAACAATACCAATGTAATTTCTTTGATTACACAGCAGATTTATGTCATAGCCATAAATTCTGCATCTTGACTGTCAACACAAATAAAATCTTAAGGTTTTCAACAGACACTCCTATCTAATATTCTTGAGTAAGATAGTATTCTCCATCCAACAGCATCAGCTCATATGCGTTGCGGCGTGCACAAAAACAAGGACATTTTTTCCCAGTATTTAACTCACGATTGGTTGATCTTCACAATATAATTACATAGAATTACTAGTTATTAATCTGCTTTCTGAAGGTTTTTTCATGTAAGTTGAGTGTTTGTGATTGTATTTGGAAATGGATTTCCATCTGCTATGTACAGATATTGTCCTTATCTGTCTTGTGGCAAGTGTACAGTAACCAGTAAACAGGCGGGTTCAGTTACCATGGAAACATCTGATGTCATCTGTTATAAGTGTAGAGGGGTGTTGTGTTAGTCACCAGGTGGGCTCAGTTACCATGGAAACATCTGATGTCATCTGTTATAAGTGTAGAGGGGTGTTGTGTTAGTCACCAGGTGGGCTCAGTTACCATGGAAACATCTGATGTCATCTGTTATAAGTGTAGAGGGGTGTTGTGTTAGTCACCAGGTGGGCTCAGTTACCATGGAAACATCTGATGTCATCTGTTATAAGTGTAGAGGGGTGTTGTGTTAGTCACCAGGCGGGTTCAGTTACCATGGAAACATCTGATGTCATCTGTTATAAGTGTAGAGGGGTGTTGTGTTAGTATCCAGGCGGGTTCAGTTACCATGGAAACATCTGATGTCATCTGTTATAAGTGTAGAGGGGTGTTGTGTACAGTCACCAGTAACCAGGCGGGCACAGTTACCGTGGAAACATAGGACTTTTTTGTATTTTGACGTCATAGCCTTCCAAAGCGACATCATGAAGGTTCACATCGAGAGAGTGCTATGTGACGTTACTGATGTCCAGGACTCACTAACATGTGTGTCTCAACAGGAGGAATACTTGACTTCCTGCTACTGGCGCACCAGTCAACAGCCGGTGGACACGAGCGACAAGTATGACCCTGCCAGACCCTACTATGAGCAGTACAAGGTGGACTTTGACCAGTACAAGACCATGTTCCTGTCCCTGTCGCCATGGGCAACAGGCTCACATGCAGGAGTCACAGCCCTTAGATCTTTCAGGGTAGGTAGTGGCAGATTTGAGGTTCACTTTACTGGATTTCAGCACTGAATATTTGTTTGCTCCAAGGCAGTATATGAAATAACTCAAGTCTACTTTGGTTAAACATTCCAGATCCTGAATCAAACATTAACACTGCATTAAATGCAATAATGTTAAACTAAGTGTTAAAGCCTCTTTCTCCTGTTATGTGTGAAATGAAAGTCACCGTAACAAAGCCATAACATTAGTTATAGATATAACACTACACATTGTAGATATATAATTCCAAATTGGGACATTTGCTGCATATTTTGGGATTTTGCATACTCACTCACTCACTCACTCACTCACTCACTCACTCACTCACTCACTCACTCACTCACCCACCCACCCACTCACTCACTCACTCACTCACTCACTCACTCACTCACTCTTGCAGTACCTGGACAGCAACAAGGACAACATGGTGAACTTCAAGGAGTTTGTGCACCTGCTGGGTGTGCAGTGCAAGGGGGACTTCAACCAACGCCTCCGTCTCATCTACATCCTCCATCAGCCGCCCTGCTTGCTGCCAAATGAGAAGGATGAGGAAACACCTACATCCCCTCAATCAGGTTAGAGGGAGGGGCAGCATTCTCAATAAAATCAGAAATTTCATTCTGATAGGATATCTCTCTGCCTGAAGATCTGATAAACCTCCCATAGTTTGTGACATAGGCAGACTTCATGATCAGTGAATCAGTATCAAGGGTTCTAAATTCTTCATACAAGTGAAGCATTCAGAGTTGCATTCAGAGCAGCATATCTGTTTTCTGTGTCTTGAAATATGAATATAAATGGCAAGTTCCAAAACGAAATAATAAAAGTTTCACATTATACTGTTGTGTGGGCTGGGATGAGTCCAAATTTACTATCCCGGTACCCTACACCCTATTAAGCGACTCCTGGGGTACCTGCTGTAGTTCTCAAGGTACATCACATGACTAACCATGGGTCCTGGTAGACCTGTTGGTACCCGGGTCCTACTCAGGACTCTCCTGACCCGAGCACCCATGTCCCAGCCCTATTGTTGTGGATATGATATGATCCCTGTCATTTCTGAGTGCCATGGCCTCTAAACCCACAATGGAGTACCGCTGAAGGCATGTTTTGGTTTGGTGTTGGTTTTGTTTTGTTAAATCAAATGAATGCATTTATTTGGCAAAAAGATGAAGCTAAATTGTTTTCGAACGCGGGCATTGGACTGGGTCAAGAACCAATGCGTCCTTCATATTGACAGAACAATGAAAGCTTGCTCAGGGTTCAGATAATGTGAGCTCTAATGGAGGGATTGGCATAGATCGAGGTGTCCTATCCGAGTAAAGATCGGATTTTAATGAGACTGGGTGTTAACGTCTTGCAATGTCTATGCAAGGAAATCCAAATGCTCTGACCTCACAAAGCGTATTGGTTAAGTGACTTCAATGTGGGTATCAGTGGCCCAGAAGAGTGAGGCACTGCATCTTCATCTTCAGTTGCATCCGATAGATGTGCCTTGTATGATGACGACGACGACGACGACGACGATGATGACAAATATACCCCAATTACCCTGATAAGTGATCGTTCGTCTGTCAGGGCTTTCCTCCCATATTAATATGAACCAATATGGGCCAAAGTGGCGATAATATCACGTACGCCATACAATGTTTCAGACTCGACAGAGAGTGCTGTGGAGGCGACAGACTTCTTCGATGACGATGATGCAGCCAACGCGCAGAAGGAGTGTGATGCTGCTGATGGTGAGTCAAGGAATCAGTATCTGCTGCGTGGCTTCACAGTAGTGGTGAAATAAACGGTGTCCTCAAATATGCGTGTGGGGCAAACAAAAAAGTAAACAACACTCAAAATTATATTAATTTACTATACATTTCAAATATAAAGGGGGCGGCCAGGTAGCCTAGTGGTTAAAGCGTTTGCTTGTCGTGCCAAAGACCTGGGTTCGATTCCCGACATGAGTACAATGTGTGAAGCCCATTTCTGGTGTCCCCCGCTGTGATATTGCTGGAATATTGCTAAAAGCGTTTTAAAACCATACTCACTCACTCACTCACTCTAATATAAAGATGATGGAATTATCTCCCCCCTTTTGAAATCTTAATAGGGAAACATGTAACACTGAGAATGTAATTTTGTTTCTAAACATTTGTCATCTATCATTTTAAGTTCAACAGTGCAAATGTAGAAAGAACAACACCAGGTGTCCATTTGGGTAAAACCATCATCAGTTATATATCAGTGTAGCTGTTCAACAAGTAGAATTTCTTTGTAGATGTTGCCGTCTTTTGTGTTTGCAGACTTAGAATTGCCAAGTGTCCCTACTGTCAAGGCCACTGCCCCGAGAGACATTCCTGCCCCTCCCGGGGAGAAGGCCTGCCCCCCAGGTTCCCTGCCCCTGGGGTCAGTGGAAAGAGACACATCCCTAGGGGAGAGTGTTGGAGAGGAATCTGGTCAAGACCCCACAGAGAACTCCAGCATTGAATCGCCTACAAGTGAGGGCATATTTTGGCATTTATCATATATAGTATCATTGTTGCCATTGGCAAAGATGGCCCAGTTGGCTCAACTTTTGTAATTCTCTGTACAGAGTTGCAACCCTTAGGCATGCCAGACACCCATGAATATGGCTTCAAATATCAGATTCGCCCTGATGATATTTCTTGGATGTCATTGGGGCGGTCGGGTAGCCTAGTGGTTAAAGCATTTGCTCGTCATGCCGAAGACCAGGGTTCGATTCCTGACATGGGTACAATGTGTGAAGCCCATTTGTGGTGTGCCTTGCCGTGATATTGCTGGAATATTGCTAAAAGCGGCGTAAAACCTCACACACTCACTCACTCACTCTTAGATGTCATCACCATACCATACTCGTGGGTTTAACTGGTGGTAAATGTGCAGAGTTACGTCCCTTAGGTGTGCCAGAATTATATGATGGTGGGTGTGAATCCTTGTCTGAAACTAAAACCTACATAAAAGGATGGCATCCTGGAAAATTCGGAATAGCATTTTGTTTAAATTTGTTCCTAATGAAGTCATTCTGTACCTCAGGAAGCATCAGTTCCAAGTCCAGCTTCAAGAGGTTTGAGTTGAAGAGGATCCGTGCCGACAGCAAGGATGACTTCAGGAGCATACCGAGGATGAACCAGGTGAGTAGTTTCCTTCTGGTCATCCCCATGGTCAGGCCAGACCAGCCTAACTACTTGTCTTACAGACTTTGGTCCCCCAAATAACTGAAGGCAGGAGGGAAGAAAGAAAATAATTTGACTAAGTTTGTGATTTCATTGTGCCTATTATCTTATGTTTATATGTATAATACTAGGAACCCACCAGGGGGAGTCCTGGGATGTTTGTTAGCATCAGGATGTTATTCCTGTCACTGCTTAAGGTGATGTCTTTGAGTAAACAGATAAGGTTGAATGTCAAAATGAGATAAAAGGTTACCAAACACAATTACCGGTATTTCAAATTACCTATTTTTTATGGCTGACACAAAAAAATTAATTGTTCTGGCTCATACAAGGTCGTAAATCTGGTGACAGTAATGTGAGTAGGCTCAAACTAGATCCAACTGTTCAAGCAGTGTCTCTTTTGGAATTCAGAAACAAGTGAATACTCAAGTTCCCTGTTTTTCAATTTCAGTACCAATTCATTCAGATGTGGAAGACCCTGTATGACATGTTCAATGAACACGAAGAAGAACAGCAGCTCTACCATGCAATTGCCACCATCGGCACGTTGCTTCTTCAGATAGGGGAGGTTGGGAAACGATTCATGCGGAAAAGTGAATCAGGAGACAGCAGCCTGTTTACTGAGTCTGACCTGCCTCTGTCCTCGAGCATCGACAGTCAGAGTGACATGTCCATCAGCCCCAGTCAGAGAACTCTCGAGAGCAGCTCGCCATTCGAAAGTCATCTAAATACACCAACGAATTCATCCAATCCTTCTGCAGATAAAGACAATTTGACCAATAAAACTTTAGCAGAAGGTGATAATGCTGTGGCTATTAAAGACCCAAACAGCAATGTAACTGATGGGGAGGACAGTATTGCCAAGGGAGACAATGCTGACAAATCTAAGGGGGATAACTCTCATGCAAAGGGAGACAATTCTGACAAGTCTAAAGGTGATAATTCCCAGAAGGAACTGAAAACTGAGGACAGTTTGAAGGAGAATGTATCCGAAGAAGAAAATGGCAACTCAAGTCAAAAATCAGGCAACAGTGCTGATGCTTCTCGGGAAAGTCGTAGCAGCGTTGCTTCCGAGGGTCAACAGTCGTACGAAGAGTCATCCCCAAACTCCAGCAAACCAGACTCAGAATGGTCGATCTCCTTTGAACAATTTCTTGCATCCATGCTAACTGAACCAGTACTAGTGAAGTATTTTGAAAAGCAATACAATGTATGCGATTCAGTCTCAAAAATGAGAAACAGAAGATTACTAACACAGACGAGTACATTTAGTCAGGCATCAGCTCCGTCAAGCTCTTAATATCTGTGATCATAATAGCTTTGTGTCTTCTAGAGTGTATTTTCAAATTTATTAGCTCAGATGTAGAAAACTTTGATGAAATGCAAAAAATATGTATTGTCATAATGCATTATGATATTTGATACATAGGGTTAAGGCTAGTCTTGGGGCATTTGCAACATATGGACCCCGTTATGTAACTGCCTTAGGATCTTGTGAAAAGTTACAATGGAAGCTGAAAAAAATACTAGTTGAGATAGTTATTTTCAAAGCAGATAATGCAGTGGCTTTCATTTAATATATTTCTTGGAACAGTGGGGAAGCCTAGTGGTTAAAGTGGTTGCTCATCGCACTATAGACCGGGTTTGATTCCCCACATGGGTACAATGTGTGAAGCTCATTTCTGGTGTCCCCTGTCGTGATATTGCTGGAATATTGCTAAAAGTTGTGTAAAACCAGACTCTCTCAGAAAAATAATCAAGTTAAAATATCCATCTATCCATTTCTACAAATTGAATGCACAGCAAGACAGCCTATGCTAATGAAATTACTTCAAGAAATACTTCAACCCTGAGATTTGTATGTTGTAATATCAAGGACAACAAATTTTGAAGTTGTTTAATTATCTCAAAAATGTTGTTAGGTCATAAGATGTTTTATTGATATTTATTTATGTATTACCCAAAAAATGTTTAGGTGAAAGGACTTTTTATTGATGACATCTGTTAGTGCTTGTATTTGCTTCGTTTAGACATGTTCTTTGTTGTATATACTGTAGATATACAGTGTTATTGCAGAATATTTGCAGTCTTAAAAATCGGATCTTTTCTTCAGCTTTGACAGTTCCCTATGTCAAGATCTGACACTAACTCCCTGGGAGGTCTTGTGAGGTGAACCCTGAACAAAGCCCAATCAAAATATATGATGTGTTGGGGTTAGAGCCGTTATACATAGACTAACATGATTCCACTTCATTGGCCATCTGGCAGACGTGGGCCATGCTTATGGAAAGAAGTGCTAAGGTTGGTTTGGGAGAAATGAAACCATAGCTAGATGAAGTCCTTGTGAAAGATGTGATTAAAACAACAGGGTGAAAACTATCCACAATATAATTTGGCCTTTCGTTTTCTCCATTTGGAACTGCCTGTTTAAATTTTATTCCTGGATGCAGCAGTCTTCTCCATATATATATGCTTTGCTCTCTCATACCAAGAATTTAGAAACCTCCATGTTGATTGGCTGGTTGAAGAGTTCACGTGATACGACTTCCTAACGAGGTTTGTCTTGATGTCTAAGCATGTTAAAAGATCTGATTTGAATGAGACTTGCAAATTTGTATATGAAACTATTTTGATGAAGGTGTTTGTTGTTACATTGGTTCATGGTTTCAAGATAGGTAATGTGTGAATGTGACCACAGTGTCGGGCACTCGTCTTTTTATACTTTGTTGACTATTACTTTACATTAATTCTGTGGTTCTATGGGTTATTCATGCATATTAATTCAAGCTTGAATGTATCACTTACCCTTTGATTGTGAAAATTAACATCTCTTGTAAAGATGTAAATCAAAAGTGAAGTCATTAAGGGGACAGGATCACAAATATGCACTAGTAGTGTTTTCAAATTAAACAACCTGGAAAAGGACAACACGGGGCGTTCCGAACGACAGTTACGTGCTGTACGACTGATTCTGTAGAAATCTTTGTCTTTGTCTTACTTCAATTGGATAAACATTGAAATAAAAGACTTTCCATGACCTCTGGGAAGTGCTGCTATACAATCTTGGCCATCTGTTAGTTTTCAAGTTTTGAATCAATATTTTTCAAAGCATAGTCTGGAATGGAAGTCGCAAGTTAACACGAGTGTCGAAAAGCTTGAGAAAGCTTCTTTCTGATTGGTGAATGACAATTTCTTGTTGGTGATTTCATTGGTCGGTCAAAGTACACAAAAGGTCGTTCTGACCTGACCTGTATTGGGATGTCCTCAGATCTTTGTGTAGTGGTAGTGAGAACTGAGAACTGATTTCCCGAAGGTATACAATTTGTTGTTAAAACACTATTATGACAACACAAGGTTGATGTGTGTCAGAGCTTGTTGAGATATGAAGATTGAATATTATTTTTGCTTCAGATAATGTTACTATATTTTGCTATGCCAAATGACTGCATGCTAGTGCTTCCATGACTTGTCTGCATGTGTAAATGTCAGTACACTATAGGATTTCATGAGATAGTGCCCAGCTGCCATGGTAACAGCCAGTTTATGCCTTGTCAAATGATTATTTTGCGAGAATACAGAGAAATAGACATAATTATTGGTGTGTGTGTGATATTTCTGTAAGGGTTTTCTTTATGGTTGATGGTCCATTTTCCCTTATTGATATTAAATGCTGACAGTTGATATAAAAGCAAAAAATGTTTGATTTTACAGTGTCATGATGCAGTGTCTTGATACAGTGTGTCGTGATACAGTGTCTTGATTCAATGTGTCATGATGCAATGTCTTGATACAATGTGTCATGATACAATACGTCATGATGCAGTGTCTTGATACAATGTGTCAGGATGCAGTGTCATGATGCAATCTCTTAATAGAATGTATCACAAATCCAGAACATAAAAAAGTTTCTTCACATTTTTTGGCATTGAGTCATGGCATCTTACAAAAATCTATCTTCTGGACACTTCTTGTGTAAGTTTTGGCACATATCCCTGGGAAAGTGCAATAAAACTAACTGTTAGATTTTTATTAACCATGATGGTTAAATCTTAGTGTTAATATTACTTCATATCAATTAGAATAATAAATGACAAAATTCATTACATTTGATTTGAATGGATCATACCTATCCGTATAGTGCTTCCATTACATTATTTGATGATATTTATATTATGTGTTATGTGTTGCTTGTATGATCCTTTTAAATATGATTCATATTATTTCGATTTATCTCATACCATTTGTTTTATGCTAGTCAACTTAAGATAGGAATACTGAGCTAGTGATGCCTGTCGGGACCAGTGCCACCCACACTGGATGTACTCAGTTTGGTGTGTGGTGTGCATGTTATTTGCTGTGATATGACCAGGAACAATTCACCACCATACCTTAGTTCTGGAAGTGACGCCATACCTTAGATCTGGAAGTGATGCCATACCTTAGTTCTGGGACCCATGAAGATCCGGGGTAGAATAGTTCGTCAGCAACCCGTGCTTGCTGTAAAAGGTGACTATTCTTGTCATAAGTGGCAACTAACGAGATCGGGTGGTCAGGCTCGCTGACTTGGTTGATGCATATCATCGTATCGAAAAATTTCGTGGATCGATGCTTATGATGTCAGTCACTGGATTTTCTCGTCCAGACTCAATTTTTTACAGACAGTAGTCATATAGCTGGAATACTGCTGAGTGTGGCAACAAACATACAAACAACAAAGCTTAGTTCTGGAAGTATGCCATAACATAGTTCTGGAAGTATGCCATACTTTAGTTCTGGAAGTATGCCATACCTTAGTTCTGGAAGTGACACCATACCTTAGTTCTGGAAGCATGCCATACGTTAGTAGTTCTGGAAGTGACGCAATACCATAGTTCTGCAAGTGACGCCATACCTTAGTTCTGGAAGTATGCCATACCTTAGTTCTGGAAGTGACATAACCAGCTCCATGTCTGTTATCACCAACTTCGCACAGAATTTTCTCCTTGAATTGAAACAATCAAAATCATAGATGCAGGCTACATTCACAATGTATGCTGCTAAAAAAAAGTTAAGGACCACCCAATTCTTTGATAGTACTGTGGTTAATCTGTCATGCCAACTTTTGTGATACGAAAGATTTGGGTGGTCATTAACTTCTTTTTCGTAGTATATTTCATTGAATCAGAAGACTTGTAACTTTTAACTGGAAAAGATGCTACAAGACATTCTGGTTGCATTTTAGAGCACACAGCAGTTGAATCGAGTTTTGATGTGGTTTTGTCTGAGTTCTGTTGGTTTTGGCGTTCGTTTCAGTCATGAATGATTGGTGTAATTTAATCAGTTTTTGTTTTCAGGACTCCAGAAAGAGGTATGGTGGTGAATAGGCCCAGGGAATGTTTCATAACAGGAAAAATATTATACACTGGAGAAATGAGGATGGGTTGAATATTAGCAATATCCCTATCAAAGGTTAAGTGTACTGAATAAAAAACGTTAGGAATCATGAATGTTTCTGGGGATAGCTGAGCACTCAATTTCCCCAAAAATATACCGAAAATATTCATGATCCCTTTCTTTTTTTGTTTAGTATGTAAAGGATTCTTCAATACTATTTCCACATTAAACACAACTGCCTCCAAGAGATAGTACTGTTGTATTTTCTCTCTATATAGTGTGTTAATCTCACTTATACCAAAAGCTGTATGGACGACATGGGAATGTACCACATATATGTTATAATTTGGGTTCCTATATGTTAAAATGTGCAGTTAATGTGTAGTGGTTTGTCGTGTCATGGTATGTAATGAAACTCTTGTCAGCCTGCACCCTTGTTAATGTGGACACTTGGAGAGAAGCTCAGTTTAAATATAAACTGACATATCTCTACTTGGGCCTTATATATTTTTATTGGTTGATGAGATTAACAGAATTAAAAAAATTAAATGTCCTTTGACAATTGTTTTTGTTTATGTGGGGAGGGGTGGTGACTCTGCTTTCAATTACCGGGGTAGGTGAAATGAAAAAAAAACCATGAGATTTTGTCACCGATGTTAAAAAAAGTGGGGAATAATACATATTAAAAAAATCTAAAATCTAAACACATTATAATCAATTATATTTCTGTATCTTATGTTAAAATGAGTTTGTTTTTCAAGCATTAGCAGCATTATTAATCTGGAAGCGGAAAAATATTATTTATTCTTTCAACCACCTTCAGGCCAAAATGTTTGTAAGCCAAATAATAAAGAATTAAATGCCTGGACAGTTAGAATCAGGAGTGCCCAGATTAACAAGCTTTCACAGTATTACCTATATAGATCTTATGGTCAATGAAAATATCTGTATCTGGAGAAGGAATAAGCATGTACTCCGAAACATTGTGTTCCTCATAATAAAGAAGTTGACATCAATAAATTCTCTTCCTTATGTGTATCACTTCTAAATGCCTTTCAAAGACTTAATAATATAAGGATTTCATTTTTAACAAGCAGAGACAAAATTTAGTGTGAATTGATTTTGGAATGTCTGTATATATGTTAGTTAATATATGTTAGTTAATACATGTTAGTTAATATATGTTAGTTCATCGTCAGTACTGCACAGGTGTGTATAGATATATATACCGTGTTCGACGTAATAAGTGCCCAGGGCACTCTCAAAATTAGAAATTGGGGGCCCTTATTAGGGGGCTATTATTATTTGGGTGGAAAAAAAACAGAGTTGAAAGATAAATTTCGTGGTTTATGGTGACAGACTGAAATGTTTATGTACGACAGATATATTTTCCCAGAATTTAATTGCCCATAATTAAGGGTGCATATAACACATGAGTGTGTATTATACGCAAATAAATAAGTCTTGTGTACATTGATCAATCGGAAGGGGTGCTAATTAGGATTGTTCACCAGCCAATATATCAGCAAATATCGCCGTGGGCGCTTATTACGTCGAATACGGTACACACTTCATTTCTCGATCATCCACAAATACACACACTCAATTCACAGTGTTATAGTGGCTAGGGGTTATTTTAGTGTCCAGCAAGGAAATGGGGCCCTATTCCATGGGTTAATGCAAACTTTACCTTTGCCTGATATTTTTTTGAAGCAATATGTATACTGTATTTCCTCTTTTAAGCTTTGGGGCTCCAATACACACCTCTGCTTTATGCCGGGTCATACGCTGTCCCCAAATTAGCAGCCCAGCCTCTCATAGACACCAAGTCTCATATGTTGGTGATTTATGATGGCAGTTTCCTGCAAATGTCGGCCTACCCTTTGTGTGACTGGGTTTGTGAGGTAGCCTAGTGGTTAAAGCGTTCCCTCGTCACTCCGCAGACCTTTGACATGGGTACAATGTGTGAAGACCATTTCTTGTGTCCCCTGCCATGATATTGCTGGAATATTGCTAAAAGTGGCTAAAACTATACTTACTCACTTTGTATGACTAGAATTTGTGTAAGGTAGTGAGTTGCCACTGTGCCACCATTAAACAGAATAGATGCTTGGCATCTAATTCACACCAGCGTTTAATAGACGCCGGGTCAATGGCTTGCATGAAATTTATAGACGTCCGAGGTAGATGAAATTGATAGTAGATAGCCACAAAAATATGAGAAATATTGCAGTTTATGAGATGAATAAGACCTCATTCGTGTGAGCAACATCTGATTTCCCTCTCGCTGGACTGTTCCTTAATATTGTGGCTGAAAATAACACGGCTTAGGGTCAATATGTATTGATGGGTGATCGAGGAATGTAGTGCATGTACACTCCTGACGTAGTTCAGTGGTGTTGGTTATTAAAGATGGTTGAGTGACTTTGTTTTGTAAATATTTCAAAATGTGACAGTGTCAGTTCATATCTTCAACTCTGTATGTTCATATTATTTGTCTGCCATGGTGCTTGTCTTGGTTGTTTATTTGTTTATTTATTTCCTTGTTTCTCCATTAGCTCTCTTACCATTTTAGTACTTAAGCCCTGTTAAACGTCTAATTTTGTTTAACTACTTTGTTTCCAGATCGAAAAAGTTAACACAGTGGTCGAAAATATTTAAAGACTAGAAACATGTTGTTTAAAGTGATCTCAAGAGAACATGGTCCAAAGGATAAAATACAAAAAATGAAATGTTGAATGTGATTGACAAAGAGTTACCTAATGTTTTATTATTTTATTTAGTAGTCCATCTCCCCGAGGCAAGGGTGTTAACTGACTACAAAAGTCCAGTTTCCACCCTTGACGAATTTCTTCAGTGTGATTGTAGTGCCACCAGTGGCCATAACGAGTTATGTCCCTTCTATGTCCTTTCCATTGACCAATCAGATTCTCACATCGCTTGCATTGGCTTCAAATAAAATGGCTGCGCCGAGTCAAAAGGATCTTATTGATAATCAAGATCTATATTGTAATATAACATGTCTTACCTCGGGAAGTGGGTCAAATCATGCAGTCGATCGAAGTCACGATGTGTGTCCTGTCTCACATAGTGTCACATATCTCATCAACAGTTTGTCACTATTTGTGTAAGTGAGATGACAATAACACTGTTGTTTCCATGGGTTATGAACACTGGATTTGTTTCCATTTAAAATTGGTATATTATATTCATCTTGTTTGTAATAATCATTATATGCTGTTTCAGATGTTCAAGTAATCAACAGTCAAACATGATACATTTTTTTTATTCCATCATTAGACTTTGAAGCTTTACCAAAATAATTTTCATTAGGTTCTTCTTGTTATTTTTTTAATCTTAGTTAGGCTAGTTCAGTTTATGTTGTGCTTTACAGACCACTCTAACTTTAATTACAAAAAATAAAGATAAAATACTTTGCCTTGACAAAAAATGAATTATTTGTCTCCAGTCTCTGTCATTTTGGCAAAGATTGACATTTTGGTCTGGTCTTTCAATGATTTTCCAGTGTTATCATGGTTACTTTAGCATAATTCCTGCGGTGAGATCTTGGGTACAGAGGATTGGAGATTTCTTACATAGCATGGCATAACATTTACTCCATTAAAATCAAATCTTTATCTCCCAAACAATACCTCTCTGTGTGAAGACCTGACAAGCAATTGACAGACGAAGTCTGATCAAACTTTGACTGTCCAGTTTAAATGAAGGATGTGTTGGTTCTTCAGCTTAGATGTCAAGTTATTGCTGTACAAGACCGCTTCCGTGGTCTAGTGGTAGAGTGTCCGCCCGGAGAGCAGAAGGTCCAGGGTTTGATCCCCGGCCGCTCATACCAAAAGATGTTAAAAGATGGTACTTGTTGTTACCCTGTCTGGCACTCGGCATAAAGGGGCTAAAACAAGGGCTGGTCGGCTCGGAGTCAGTATACTGTGTCTGAGTGGGGTATTTATGTTAAACTGTGGCATGGTATCTCAGTGAGCTAGCACTATAAATCGGCATCAGTCCGGACCAGTACAAGCAGCCACACACACACACACACACACACACACACACACACACACGTGCATGCACATCGCTATATAAGTGCAATAATCTTGGACGCAACATTAAACCCAATATCACCTCACCTCACCTCACTTATTGCTGTACAACCTTGATCACAAAAACACACATAGAATA